TTCTTCCAGGCAACCTTAGGATGCAGAGAAGCGATTAGAGTTGAGTCTGGTCGAGGTGTAGCAATAATATATAGTGAAAAGTGATGTTACATATTATTCGTACAAAACAACCACACCGATACAAACAATCATACTCATAAATACAAATGTGTGTACCGTGCGAGAAATCGAACCTGCGACCGTAGGACGTAAAGCAGTATGCTAAACTGCTAAAAGTGAGAAGTGTCACCTGTCGTCGTGACAGACTGTTTGCAACCGCGTCGGTACGCACAAGCGACGCTAGCAATTCTCCCACTATGAGAGCATTGCAATTATTAAATTTATTTTTAGGTAAGGTCCAAGATGCTGATGTGTATACTGAAGCATTGCCTTCCATAATAAATAAAATAAGAATATATTTATCATCGTATAATTTTAAGTAGTATAAATAGTTTTAAAATATAAACGTGTTGGCAATTAGCTGTAAATTTATATTGTGTTAATTAAATAAGTAAATAAATAAACCATCGAGGTCGTCGAGGTTAGGTTAACGAAATTATTGTAATGTACTTTTTGTATAATACATACCTGGCCAACCGAGCTTCGCTTCGATTTTATTTGCACAGAAGTGGAGACGTACTTCTCAATTAGCACATCGAAATCTGAAACAATACAGTAGAAATATACCCTTCAGATCGATCCCCCGTCCAATTCAAACGGGGATCGAAATTACGACGGCCTGAGCCGAGGTTCGAACCCCTAGCGGTGGCTTCAGACTAAAGTCGTATCCGTCAGGCGGGAGTTGGCCCTCAGCCGCGCCATAAGTCGTTTCTTTGGTTTGGATTGCCATCTGCACTCGCCCCCTATCGTCCGGTGAAGCTGTAAAGGCCAGCTGCGGCCGACAGCATTAGAGTTGTCCGAAAGAAAGGATTTCAGCCGCTCTATAAGTTCTTTCTTTGGTTTGGAGTGCCATCTGCACTCGCCCCCTATCGTCCGGTGAAGCTGTAAAGGCCAGCTGCGGCCAACAGAAAGGATTTCAGATAAGTTCTTTCTTTGGTTTGTAATCTGCACTCGCCATCGTCTGCGGCCAACAGCATTAGAGTAAAAAGAAAACACGCTGTAATGGTTTGGAACTATAGAATCGTCCAGAAAAAAGGCTTAGGGTAGTCCGAAAAAGTGCCGCTCTATAAGTTCTTTTTTGGTTTGGATATCATTCGTCCGGTGAAGCTGTAACGATAAACAATTAGAGTAAAAAAATAACACGCTGTAATGAACTATAGAATGGAAAAAAGGCCCGCCGGGTGGTAAGTGGTAAATGTTATTTGATGCACGTATAACATGCAAACTGTCTAAGTTCATGTTCTCCTGGTACTTTCAGTGCAGTTTTGCTTTTTTTGTTATTGTAATGGTACAAGCTGACCGTTCACCTGATGGTAGGTGGTGACCGTCACCTATGTACATTAATAGGACTACTAACATACAAATATGACACTAGAACGTAACACCTGTATAACTACTATGTTACCATTCCAGAGTACTAACATGTCACGCTTCTTACCCTGTAATTTCACTGTCTAATCTGCACCCTACAAGCTACTACAACAAAGCAAGCTGCTTGGCTGAAAATGGTGAGACTGAGGTATACTGGCAGACGAATTTGTTCAACGTTTACCTCGATTTCTTAAATTACAATAATAATAATAATCTCAGGACAATTCACACAGCGCCATCTAGACCCAAGTTAAGCTAGCTAAAGATTGTGTTACGGGTACTAGATAACTGATACAAATACATAGATATTTTTGTTTTCGTAAATACATACATATTAAACATAGAAAACACCCAGACCACACCCACCCGCCCGATACAAACAAACTTATGAATTCAAATGTTTGTGCCGTGCGAGGAATCGAACCCGCGACCATCGGAAGTAAAACGGTGTGCTAAACCGTTATACCACCGAGACCGTCACTATCATCATCATCATCATCGCAGCCCGGAAAACGTCCACTGCTGGACGAAAATAGAATTTATTTTTTAATACAATATTACAAGCAAAAAACTCCGTTTCCTTTTTTTATAGTCGGTTAAAAGTAAATAATATTAAAACTTACCTTGTTCGAATGTATTAGCATTTACAACGAACATTAAAATCATATATATTAGATGCATTATAATTATTAAACTAAAAAAATTCACTGTACACTCAACAGAGTTAAAACACTGCAAAATATTTGATTAATAATTGATTATCTATATAATAATATTAAATATACTTAATGGAGGACATAACAATATATAATATTGTAGTAAATAGATTATTTATCTGTCTCTAAATTTGAATAAAAATTCTTTCTTGTAATATTTCTGTCAACACTTGACACCCTTCCGTTAGTATACGTCTCAACTAACATAGATGTAAGTTAAGTATAAAGTCAGTCCACGTTACGACTCCGCGTGGAATGTACGCGTCACTAATAAGCCATGTAGCACACTATCAAATAAACTTACTAATGTACAATAAATAGTACAATTATTACAGCTGTATACTCACTACCTACATACTACAGTAAACAATATATAGTGTAGCGACACCTCATCACATCATATATATATAACCATGCCATGCAGCACAACCTACAAGATAATTCGTGTTATTATTGCCCCATTGTTTATAATAATTTTCTACACTAAACGTGAAAGTTTAAAAATATATTTCTACAATATTTAGTACTTATTTTATACTTGAACTAGCTTTTGCCTGAGGATTCGCTCGCGTCAATTTATTCCTTTAAGGTTGGGATTTATCAAAATCCTTTCTTAGGGGATGCCTACGTCATAGTAGCTTTAGGCATGGAAAGTCTCAGCCCGATCGGTTTAAAATTGACCAAGTTTCATACAAACTTGCATCCCCTATTTTATCCCCTTGGGGGTAGAATTAATCAAAATCCTTTCTTAACGGATGCCTACGTCATAACATCTATCTGCATGCCAAATTTCAGCCCGATCTGTCCAGTGGTTTGGGCTGTGTATTGATAGATCACTGTGTCAGTCAGTCAGTCACCTTTGAATAGAATAGAATAGAATAGAATAGAATAGAATAGAATAGAATAGAATAGAAAATCATTTATTCAAATAAACTTACATTGAAGCACTTTTGAATAGTCATTGCATTTTTTAATCTACCGCTCGTTCGGAAAGCTGTCTCATCACAAGAAGAACGAGCAAGAAACTTGCGTGTTGCTCTTTTAAATAATTTTATTATTACTTTACATTTTTAAGTTTAAGTGTGTGAATACAAAGCACCAATTAGCACTAATTCTATTAAATACTCAAATAGAAAAAATATTGAATATATAACCAACTGGTTAAACAATTAATAAGAGGAAATCAGTCATAGTGATTAGAGCAGACCAGTCCCTACAAGCAGCACCCGTTCACGAGTATGACGGATGAGCCAGCCATCACTGCGCTCGACCATATTTTAGGGAGCCCAATGACCCGGCCCACCACGCCGCCACAAGTCTGGACATTTTAGTGAGCATGACTACTCAAAACACTAGACTACGTCAAAGCTACTTACAATTGCCATCTGATAGTTATAGTATTCACATTTTACATAAGAATGCATGCGGCAATCAATACAAAAACCGCTACGCTTTCATATTTCTAAAATCAATCAATTAAATCAAGAAAGCAATGAGAAAATAAAATTATAACGTTGTATGCTAATAAACTAAGTATTTACTTGATATGTTGTCGTCTATGAATTCGTCTATCCTGTAATAGGCTTTTTTACATAAAAATTGTTTAATATAAGATTTGAATTGCCTCTCTGTCAGATTTAATGCAGATTCTGGCAGTTTATTATAAAATCTTACGCAATTACCATAGAATGAGTTACTAATTTTGTGCAGACGGCATTTAAGTAAAATTAGCTTATTTATATTGCGTAAGTTTCTATTTGTACAGTCTTTGAGTTTTTTAAAACTCTCTAAGTTCTTCCGTGCATACATGATATTTTCATAAATGTATTGTGAAGTAACGGTGAGGATATTTGAGTTATATATATTTAGATATATAAACGGGATGTAGTTTTATATAGGTACCGATAGTTTACAAATACCTGTTCACATATGAGGATATATATTTCTATTAGAAATGTAGGTAAAAAGTAATTTAGGTATAGTTATTAATAAAGTGCATTTTTAGGTATGACTTTATATATATATTAATTTACCACATAACATATTTTATATATTATATTACATATTTTATATTTACTACATAACATACTTATCATTACATAGTATAAAACAAAGTCGCTGTCGCTGTCTGTCCGTTCCTATGTATGCTTAAATCTTTAAAACTACGCAACGGATTTTGAAGTATTTTTTTTAATAGATAGAGTGATTCTAGAGGAAGGTTTATATGTATAATACATGTACACCCGGACGAAGCTGGGGTGAATAGCTAGTAGTTTATATAGAGAAGGAATACTATGCAGAAATATATTTTATTAATAAAATTTTGAAATTCACTTCCGCAAAATAACACCTTCCATTAAATCTTTACTAACATTATAATTGCCTAAGTAATTCTTGTCTGTCGCGCTTTCACGCCAAAACTACTGAACCGATTTTAATCAAATTTGGTACACAGATAGTCTAGACCCTGAGAAAGGATATACGCTCATTTTTAATGCGAAAAAGGCTGTAAGGGATCTAAAGGGGAGATGAAAGTTGTATGGAAGTATCGTCATTTTTAAAGAGGTTGATTAAATATAATTAAATATGATATTTAGTTAGTAAAAATTTTACCCGTAACATAAAATGGGGGATGAAAGTTTATTTTTGTAGCTAGACTATTTTATTTTCTTTTTTTAGTTTAGGATTTATAGTATTAAACATTTTTTCTTTATTTAGTCAGTCAGTATTCCACGCAGACGAAGTCGCGGGAACAGCTAATAAATAATACAAGTTCTCTCGCAATATGTATGTTTAATTTAAACAATATAGTGTTCACGGCCACACGATGCTCTCAATCCAGGGCAAGTATGAACTGAGTTTGGTATATACCCCGGGCTCGCCTGCCATCCCGCAGGTAGATCCAAAGGATGTGACTCCAATGATGGAGTGCAGACAGCGGAACTTGTTGCGGATTAGGAGAGGCCCACCGCTGTCACCCTGCACAAGCATTTTTTTTAATGGTTGATAATGGAATGTTGCTCCCGCCTGCGCTGACGGTTTACGCTGGCGGGGCACCAGTGGAGGATGATAAGATGAGCATGAGGTCAAGTCAGTTAGCCCATCGTGACAAATTTACCAGGTATTTATCACGATGGTGTCCCCCTGGACAGTGGAGGTCAACCTGAAATGGTACATCGCTAGTAATGGGATCATGAGCCCACATTATTGACAATCCGCTCTTGCACAAGTATTTATATGGTTCTTAGCAGAGACTGTAAAAACTCGTCTGCGTACATACGCAGACGAGTTTTTACAGTCTATATAGTATATAGTTAGTGTAGTAGTTATTTAGTATATAGTTACTATTTCAGCCGCCAAGTAGCGTGCTTTGTAGATCGGTTGTTGCAGATCACCAGTGTGCAATGAGAAGATTAGCATGAATAGAATAAAATCGAATAGGATAGGACAGGATAGGACAGGATAGGACAGGACAGCACAGGACAGGATAGGACAGGACAGGTCAGGACAGGATAGGACAGGATAGGACAGGATAGGACAGGATTGGACAGGATAGGACAGGATAGGGCAGGATCGGACAGGATAGGTCAGGATAGGACAAGACAGGATAGGATAGCATAGGATAGGATAGGATAGGACAGGACAGGACAGGATAGGATAGGATAGGATAGGCTAGGCTAGAATAGGATAGGATAGAATAGAATCGCACAGAACAGAACAGAATAGGATAGAAGGATAGAATAGAAATAATCTTTATTCAAATAAACTTAATACAAACACTTTTGAATAGTCACATTTTTTTATACTACCGCTCATTCGGAATGCAGATTCATCACAAGAAGAACGAGTAAGAAACTTGCGTATTGCTCTTTTAAATAATTTTATTATTGATATTTGATATGATTTATTCAAACCACCATATTAGTTTAATTCAATTAAATACTCAAATAGAAAAAATATTGAATATATAACCAACTGGTTAAACAATTAATAAGAGTAAATCAGTCATAGTGATTAGAGCAGACCAGTCCCTACAAGCGGCACCCGTTCACGAGTATGACGGATGAGCCAGCCAGATTCACATTTTACATAAGAATGCATGCGAAAATCATTTATTCAAATAAACTTACATTGAAGCACTTTCAATATTTCATTTTTTAATTAAATCAAGAAAGCTCATCACAAGAAGAAAAAGAAATTATAAGGTTGTATGCTAATAAATAATTTTATTATTATTTACATTTTTATATAAGTGTGTGAATCGTCTTATAATTCAATTAAATACCAAATGTAAAAAATATTGTATATATAACCAACTGGTACACAAAAATTGTTTAATATAAGATTTGAAGACCAGTCCCTCTCTGTCAGATTTACGGATGAGCAGATTCTGCGCTCGAGCATTTATTAGAAAATGATCCGCCCAATTACGCCACAGAATGACATTTTGATTGACATGACAATTAAAACACTAAAATTCAGCTTAAATTTATTATAGTTATAGTATTCTACTTGTACAGAATCTTTGAGTTTTTTAAAACTCTCTAAGTTCTAAAATAATTAAATCAAGAAAGTTAAATTATAACGTTGTATGCTAATAAACTAATTATTTACTTGATATGTTTTCATCTATGAATTCGTCTATCCTTTAATAGTCTTTCTTACACAAAATACTTTTTAATATAAATTTGAATTCACTCATAGCACAATATGTATGGGCATGGTACAAAATTAAGAAGCAACATGAATAGAATAGAATAGAAAATCATTTATTCAAATAAACTTAATTTAAGCACTTTTGAATAGTCATAACAATTTGTTTTTTATCTACCACTCGTTCGGAAAGCTGTCTCATCACAAGAAGAACGAGCAAGAAACTTGTGTGTTGCTCTTTTAAATAATCCTTATAAGTTTACATTTACAAGTCGAAACGTGTGCATACAAACTACCAACAAGCACTAATTTTTTGGGTCAAATATAAATATGCAATAAGATTAAATCAGTCGTAGTGATAAGATGATCAGGTCATCCCATCGTGGTAAATTCATCAGGAATTTATCACGATGGTTTCCAGTAGGACCCGCTTGGAGTTCAACCTAACATGGTACCTAGCAATGAATGAGCAACAGTTGCCTATATACATGAACTAAGGACATCATCCTTTCGTGGGTTTGGAATGTCATATGCACTCGCCCCTTTTTATGCTATTGGAATGGCAATCTAACGGCCCGCCTGATGGTAAATTGTAGCCGTCACGTGACGCACGTAACAGCACTCTTGGTGCCGATCTGAAGGACTACGAGGTCCGGTCTCCATACACTGTAATTTCACAGGCCATATCTCTCAACAAACTGTCTATAAACTCATGTTCTCCTGGTACTTTCAATGTAATTTTCGTCTTTATTTTTTTTTGTCATTGTAATGAAACTTACGTCCCACCTGATGGTAAGTGGTAACCGTCGCCTATAAACATGAACACTACAGACATCACGTTATCATGTGATACCCGTGATACAACTCATGCGTTATCATTCCAGAGTACTAAGATGTCACGCCTCTTATCCTGTAATTTCACTGCTTAATCTGCACCCTACAACCCAAAACAGCTTACAAAGCAAGCTGCTTGGCTGAAATAAGTAAGACTGAGGTGCACACACAGACGAGTTTGTACTAAGTATACTTTGGTAATTATAACAGTTTATTTTGTACTATCTTTTGCCCGCGGCTTCGCTCGTGTTAATTTATCCCCTTAGGGGTGGAATTTATCAAAGTCCTTTCTTAGGAGATGCCTATGTCATGCATGCAAACTTTCATCCCCTATTTTATCCCCTTGGGGGTAGAATTAATCAAAATCTTTTCTTAGCGGATGCCTACGTCATAACATCTACCTGCATGCCAAATTTCAGCCCGATCTCAGTCACCTTTGAGTTATATATATTTAGATTGGGGGTCTAATTGGTTTTGCGGTTTAAGCACACCGCTTTACCAATAGTCTCGGGTTCAATTCCTTGCACGATACAAACATGAGTATGATTATATTATTCTAGATTTTTATGTATATTGTGTATTTATAAAATGTATTTACGTATTTATATCAGTTGTCTAGTACCTACAAGCTCTGTTTATCTTGGGCCTAGATGGCGCTGTGTTAATTGTCCAGGATTATTAATCAATTACCTGGCAGGTGTCAGCAGGGTGACTCCGGTGTCCGTAGCAGACCTGCGTGCTGTGATTGATGCCGGACCTCAAGAGCCTGCCTTCTGAATATTTGGCTGCGCACTCCTCATCAGAGAATCTGTACAGCTTGGTCTGGAATTGAAGAATATAAGTTTTTTTTTGGTGTTTTAGGCTATTATCAGGTGCTAAAACCTGTAACATACTCGCGAGTGGGTGCAGATTTATTTATGCTCTATGCTTCAAATTTATAGTCTATATGTTATTTTGATGTTTACATTACTGTAAAATTACATCAAAATCTGTTCAGTAATTTTTGCGTAAAAAAGTAACAAACATCCATACTCACAAACTTTCACGTTTATAATATTAATTGATAAATGTTTTATTGAATTACTAGTTACTGGCCCCGGCTTTGCACGGTTGTACATGTACTATACATATAAACCTTCCTCTAGAATCACACTATCTATTAACAAAAAACCGCTTCAAAATCCGTTGCGCAGTTTTAAAGATTTAAGCATACATAGGGACAGACAGCGACAGCGCTTTGTTTTATACTTTGTAATGAAGTGTTATTTTGCAGAAGCCCATTTCATTTCTTAATATAGTTATATTATTTTGTTTAATTCCGCTACAATTATCATGTGTGAGACCACTAATATTCAGTGCGAAATCTTGACTACAGTTACGACCTTCTCAAGTGGTGATCAAATTCCGACCGTTATTGAGTCTACACCCATATTGCGACACGTATTTCGTCTCTGAACGAGGCATCATCAGGCAATGAATGGAGTTTGGAAACCAAGTTAACTGTTCAACGTAGTCTGGTCAAGGAATTAAACAAAATAAATCTATTAAGTATTTTTTCTGTAACTGTATTAATATCCAGGCCAATACAAACCATCATACTCATGAATACAAATGTACTCGAACTGGAATCGAACCCGTGATCATAGGAAATAAGGTGCGCCGCAAAACCACCGACGCCGTCCTAACTAACACTACACATATATGTAACTAGCTACCCACCCGGACTTCGCACGGGTGTATATGTATTATACTCATAAACCTTCCTCTTGAATCACTCTATTAAAAAGAAACGGCTTCAAAATCAGTTGCGTAGTTTTAAAGATTTAAGCATAAATAGGGACGGACTGACAGCGACAGCGACTTTGTTTTATAATATAAATATAATATAATAATAATAATAATGCAGTCATTACAAAAACAATGTATCTAAGTATTTATATCAGTTGTCTAGTACCCATAACACAGACTCTGCATAACTTGGGACTAGATGGCGCTGTGTTAATTTTCCAGGGTAGTTATTATATTATACTACTATTATACTTATACCTATAACTAGCTTTTGCCCGCGGCTTCGCTCGTGTAGTAGTAAGTATTATTATTAATTAGGTGTAGTTTTTGCGGCTTTACTTTTGTTTAGCGTGTCTAAAAAATTAGGGCCTGCAAAATCTAAGAAAATTTATACAAACTTTTATCCCCTTGGGGGTACAATTAATCAAAATCCTTTTTTAGGGGATGCCTACGTCATAGTAGCTTTATGCATGCAAAGTCTCAGCCCGATCGGTTTAAAATTGACAAAGTATCATACAAACTTTCATCCCTTAATTTATCCTCTTGGGTACCCCCAAGAGGGGAGGAGATGCCTACGTCATAGTTGCTTTATGCATGCAAAGTCTCAGCCCGATCGGTTTAAAATTGATAAAGTTTCATTCAAACTTTCATCCCCTAATTTATCCCCTTGGGGGTAGAATTAATCAAAATCCTTTCTTAGCGGATGCCTACGTTATAACATCTACCTGCATGCCAAATTTCAGCCCGATCCGACCAGTGGTTTAGGCTGTGCGTTGATAGATCACTATATCAGTCAAGAACTTATAATTTAATTTTGATGACAATAGTTTTTTTTTGTGTATGATAATGTAATGGTGCACCCGCCTGTGTTAACGGTTTACGCTGGCGGGCATCAGTAGAGGATGATAAGAAGAACATGAGCTCAGGTCAGTTAGCACATAAATTCACTAGGAATTTATAACAATGGTTTCCAGGAGGAACCGCGTGGAGGTCGACATAACATTGCTAGCAATGGGGATTACTAATTCCCATTACTAACAATCCCCCCTGATAACAATAGTTTTTTTTTAAGGGATGATAATGGATTGGTGCACCCGCTTGTGCTAACAGTTTACACTGGCGGGGTACCAGTGGAGGATGATAAGATGAACATGAGGTCAGGTCAGTTAGCCCATCGTGACAAATTCACTAGGAATTTATAACAATGGTTTCGAGAAGGAACCGCGTGGAGGTCAACCTAACATGGTACATTGCTAGCAATGGATATTACTAGCTCCCATTACTAACAATCCCTTTCCCCCTAATAACAATAGTTTATCATACACATCGCATGATGCGAGCACATCAACGGCAAAATCGGTGTTGAAGTTGATCACCGCGGCCGAAATCGGCCGGGATTACATCATTAGATCATCATCACATTTATACCTTCTGGAGTATATCAGCATTGTCTTCTCCGTACTCCAGGGCGCCCCAGCCGGTGGCTGTTGCTCCCTGATGGTCGTCCATCTCGTCTACATCCAAGCAGGCTGGCTGGATACTCCGTGTCAATGGAATTCTGTAATTGAAGTATATGTGATGAACTATATGTCATGACATGAAGTTTTGGGGTTGAAAGTTTTTTCTTCAGACTACTCTAATGCTGGCCGCAGTTGGACTTTACAGCTTCACCGGAGGATAGGGGCGAGTGCAAATAGCGCTCCAATCCAAAGGAAGGACTTATGGAGCGGCTGAAGGTTAACTCCTGCCTGACGGATATTCCTGCTTGGGGGATACTCCCGCGTGACGGATACTGTCGCCTGACGGATACTACTTTCTAACGGATACTGCCGCCTGACGGATACGACTTTAGTCTTTGGGCATTCATGCTAGCAAAGTTCCATGATACCCAATTACAAATAATTCCTATTTCCGCAAAATATTACACTTTTACCACGAAGTATACCTTTCACTTATTTCTTACTATGGATTATGAATCCTTATAAAGTAATAAATAAACTGTATTTATTGAAATGAAAATAATTACTGGAAAAGGAAGCAGAAATACGATTTCGACCTGGAAGAACATCTTCCACACTGTGAACACCCCAAAGTAAGCAATGTCACAATCACACACACCAAACTTACTCACCTTTGCTCAGGAACGTCCCCATGTGTAGTACAGTTTAGTGGCCACGCACTCTAGAGTGTATATTTTCATAAAAACTATTGTATTATATTTTTTTTAATACAATTTTCCACAGACATATTCGTCCGTGCCTTTTTTAATTTACTTTAATATTATTATATTTATTTAATTTCCACTTTTGTACAACTCCAGCCGAGATGTTACAATTTGCCTAACAGTGACACCGAGGCAGACCTTATCCGTCTGGCCCAGAACCACCGCTGGCCGGCCGGGTGAGTTGACAACATGCAGTGTCACCCATCTTTATTAGGAGGATTAGATTTACAATTATATAAATCTTACACTACTACTAATTTCACAGTTTTCATTACATTGTGTTGTATTGTTACATTATGAATTCTTACACTGCATATACAATTATATGAAATCTCATTTTAACATTATTTTCAAAGTTCACTATTTGTAATAGTCCAGGTTTTGTTTAATTTCACAGTTCACTTTTTGTCGTAATTCGGCAATTTTCTTTTTTTTTATATATTATATTATATAAATCATTAATTATCTTGTTTTATATAGTTAAAAATACGGAGCGTCCTTTTATTCCAGTTCTTATTTTCAATTGTTTTTTTTTCTATATTGGAAATTTAAGAGGCCACATGTATTTATTTGTGGCCAGTATTACCGAGCACCCTTTGCTCCAGTAAGCAAACCGTAGATACAACCTGCTTAGACTAAGGAGGTTCGGAATATAGAACACTGTTTTTTCCGTAAGTTCACCTTTAGCTTATTCCTTACTTTCTCCTACTTCTTACTTGTTTAACTCCTTACTCTACTCTATTCTATGAAAATGTTTCATACTCACTCGCGGTCCACCTCCAATAAAGCTATATCATTGTACTTGCTGGGCGGTTTGAACTCAGGATGCGGAATGATTCTCTTCACTTCAAATATCAGCCCCTCTTTCTCAAGATCTGACCGGGCTAGCACACCCAGAGCTACCATCTTTACTTTCCCCCTGAAATTATAATTTAATATACAACATTTCTTTCAATATATTGGAATAAAAAAACACATGGTCCAATAGTCGGCGGTAGGCTGTAGCCTACTTGCGAGTCATGTTCTCCTGGTACTTTCACTGTAGTATCGGAAATAGTAAGATAACTTCACGACTCTTATCTTTGGTGGGATAGTCAGTGTCATTGTCAACTGACATGTCCACATTTTGCTCGGTAAAGAAATAGAAATAATCTTTATTCAACTAAACTAATTACAAGCACTTTTGAATAGTCTTATTTTGATTCTACCACTCATTCGGAATGTAGATTCATCACAAGAAGAATGAGCAAGAAACATGTGTGTTGCACTTTTGAATAGATGTTTTTTTATATAAATAATTACAGTATAAGGAGTAAGAGGCATGCTATAATCAACTTAGAAATCGCTGCGCACTCATTATTAATGTAATCATAATATTGTCAGTGCTATGGATTTTAAGTTTTTCTATAAAAACATTATTATCGTTAACGAATTCTTCAAATTTTATATTAAGCTTTTTTGCAAAGGTAGTGTTTTATATGACATTTAAATCTTTTTCAGGCAGATTTATAAAAGACTCTAGTATTTTGTTGTAAACAACAAAATCCCAGAGTCTTTCGTTGTGTACGCAATTGCCATAAAACGAATTTCTAACTTTAGTTAAACGACATTTAGGTAAAATCAGTTTGATATTGTTGCGTAAGCTTTTATTAGTGTAATCACTAACTCTTTTGTAATTGTCTATATTCTACAGTCAGTTTCCTATAATGACCACTTACAGTTTACCACTGATGCAGTGACCAGCGGTGAGGATGTACCGATCGCTGATGATGCTGCCTCCGCATGACCATTGTCTTGTTTTATCATCGCCGTACCCAAGTAGAGCCTGGACATATTTTATGTTTCTGTTAGTGGAACTGCAACTAGTTTCTATCTATAATAGCTAAGTGGTCTAGCTGTTTAGAATAACGTTATGTTACTTCCGGTGGTCGCAGGGTCGATTCCAAGAATTTATCGGTACATGGTACATTGACGTTGTCTAAATATTTGTATGAAAGATCAATGGTGTTACTAGATGGTGAATTGTTGTCTATGGGGTTGTAAGGGGTTGAAAGAGTGAAAACTTTTCTATGTATATATGGTATGAATTGCTGATGAAAAAGGCCACCAGTGGAAGATGACAAGATGAATTGCATGTCTAGAAAAAGGGTTGTAAGTCAAAGGGGGATGAAAACTTGTCTTGACAAATTACCAAGAATTTATCACGACATGGTACATTGGCGTTGTGTGAATTGTCAATAAAAAGATCATCAGTTCACATAATGTTACTAGTTAGCAATTATCCAGTGATATTAGAATAGAAATCATTTATTCAAATAAACTTACATTGAAGTACTTTTGAATAGTCATTACGTTTTTTTTAATCTACCGCTCGTTCGGAAAGCTGTCTCATCACAAGAAGAACGACCAAGGCGTTGTAAATAATTTTATTATTACTTTACATTTTTAAGTTTAAGTATGAATACAAACCACCAATTAAATTCAGTTATATAGTTATTTGTTTTGGTGATTATTTTATTTGAAGAGGCTATGGAGGATATTTTAAAAAGTATTTAATATTAACAAAAAAATTATAGTGTGTGGTGATTTCAATGTTGACATTTTATCACATAATACCACAAAAACTAAATTAATGAGTTTATTTCACCTTTGACTTGAGTAATGTCTTCCACGAACCCACTGTATCACTGCCACGTCTGCTACTTTTTAACATATTTAGCAACAGTGAGTATTTAGATAAAATAATAATGAACAACCTTCCTTCTGTCACTGTGGTCAAATAGTTATTTTTCCAAATCACTGAAACAAAATTGATTAATTTATTAAAAAGAGACTTGATGGTTATAAGATAAATAAATTTAAAATATCAGTTCGATAAATTAGATTTTTATCTTCCATCTAATGTATTTATACTTTCCAATAGTTTGAATATAATAAGGCTTTTAACAAAAAAACTAGACAAAATTTTCAGAATGGGCTACAAAGGGAATTCTTAAAAGTAGAAATATATTATTTGATTTATTGAAAAAAAATACCATAGTGTGTATAAAAAGATACTCAAAAACTTTTAAAAAGGTATGTAATGTGTTTATCTAAATAAAAAAATTAAAGTGTGACGGACACCATTAATTAAAAATGGTAAAAGTCAATATAACGATTTTACGCTAAATTATAATGATAAACTAGTAACGTCCACAAAAGAAATTGTCAATATTTTTGAAAATTTTTTCGTAATATTCTTCCTCTTTGGATCTTCTCCTGTGAAATCATTGACAAGTTGTTTCTTGTCCGACATTTAAATTTACATTTATTGATGATTACTAAAACATTTAAACAATTAAATTTAAAAAATACTGGACCATTGGGGCATGTCTGTTAAAGGAACACCGATAGATGTTATTGCTCCATATTTAGTAATTATTTTCAATAAATGTATTTCTGACGGTGTTTTTCCCAAAAAATAATAAAGTCAGAGAAAAAACTGTGGTAGGTAATTGTGAATATTGTAGGCATTGAGGTGTTTCTCTCAAATGCTACAACACTTTAAAGACTAACCAATTTGGTTTCACGGCCGGTAAATCAACTACTGATTACGCCTAGCTCTCAAAATATATATAAGTCGTCAGGATACTAGTGATTTTAAAGAAAGGAAGATAAAAGCTATAATGTTACTAGTAAGCGTTGTGTGAATTATCCAGTGATATTAGAATAGAATAGAATAGAAATCATGTATTCAAATAAACTTACATTGAAGCACTTTTGAATAGTCATTACATTTTTTTAATCTAAAACTAAATGTATCAAATTTACTCTCATTCGGAAAGCATGTCTAAACATCACAAGAAGAACGATTCCAAGTTGCAATGGGGTGCCCATATTACTAAATTAGCGAGTCGACTTAGTTCTGCCGCTTATTAAATAATTTCATTATTACTTTCCACATTATTTATGGTATTTTGTTTAAGTATGATGAATACAAATTTATTTTACCACCATTTATTAGCATAATTCAATTAAATACACAAATAGAAAAATATTGAATATATAACCAAATGGTTAAACAATTAATAACCTTTTAATTTTATTGTTATTGTTACATGAACTTACCATGTTGCCAAATTCTCCAGGGTTGGAATTTTTTCCGTAACTGATGATCTGAGCCTCGGCAGGCTGGACGGCCCCGTCAGCAGTGCATAGACATAATTTTCGCTGGTAATCCAAGCATTCTGTATGAAACAGTGACTTTCAAATACAAATAAGTTTATTTAATAAATAAATTGAGAGAGAACAGTAAGTTACTAACCTTGATGACATAAATAAAATAAAAACAAATCAAATTTATTTTTATAAGATTCTTTTCTAAAATAAAATAAAAGTAGCCTAAGTTACTCCTTATCACATCAGCTATCTGCCAAAAAAAGTCCCATTCCAGCCATTTCAGAGATTAGCCGGAACAAACAGACAGACAAAAACTATAAAAAATGTTATATACCGTATATATATTCATATGCATGTAGAAAAAAACGGTTATTTCAATATTACAAACAGACACTCCAATTTTATTTATATGTATAGATGTTAAACAGACAGACAATTCGCATGTACATGATCAAAATGAAACATGATTAACAATCTCTGTAGAAATATACCTTTATTTTGTCCAAAGACAAAATATACTTGTTTTTAACAAAAAAGACAAGTGAAGAAAAGATTTATTTATTATTTTAAAAGTTCTATAGTTTTATATATTTAAAAGACACTCAAATGTTATTTATATGTATAGATAAACATAGGTTTACATTGGTTGTTATTGTAATATAATGTCCCATTATGTTTTGCTTCATTTATGCGACATTTTTAAATATTTAGACCTCGGTGGTCTAGCGGTCTAGCACTTTACGTCCGATGGTCGCGGGTTCGATTCTTCGCACGGCACAAACATTTGTATTCATGAGTATGATTGTTTGTATCGGTCTGGGTGTTTTCTATGTATAATAAGTATGTATTTACGAAAAAAAAAATCTATGTACTTGTATCAGTTATCTAGTACCCATAACACAAGCTCTAGCTAGCTTAACTTGGGTCTAGATGGCGCTGAGTGAATTGTCCTGAGATTATTATTATTATTATTTTTTTTTTTCCCAAAAATTCTCATCTCCCCTCTTAAGGAGAGGAGATGGCAACATACCCCCGGCAGAAGCACAGTCGGCCGGGGTTCAGGGCCCCAGGGAGAGAAACCGGCGTACAATGCAGGCAGGGCAGAATCTAACAGCACCGCTTTCTGCATCTTTCCCGGGAGTGAGCCGCCCCGGAATCCCAACCGTCTGAGATGTTGTTCCAGACTGGTTTTCGGTCACCTCGCGAGCCAGGTCGAGATACTTTCTCTTTTTCTCAGTTTCGGCTTTCACGAGGTTCTCGTCATGCGGTATGGTGATGTCCACCAAAAACACCCTCGAAAGTGCCCGATCCATCACCACGATATCAGGTTTGTTCGCAAGAACGGTCCTGTCCGTGATGATGGATCGGTCCCAGTAGAGCTTGACGCTGTCGCTTTCGAGGACCGGCTGGGGCTCGTACTTATAGTACGGCAACCTCTCATTCGCGAGGCCGTACTTCAGAGCTAGTTCTTGATGGAGTATTTTGGCTACCTGGTTGTGTCTGTGCAAGTACTCAGTGTTGGCAAGAGCTGAACAACCCGAAAGCACATGTCTGAGTGACTCACCGGGATGACGACATGCCCGACAGATGTCCTCAGTGCCATCCTTCAGAATGTGCTTTCGGTAATTGTTCGTCTTAACCACCTGATCCTGTATTGCACAGACAAAACCCTCGGTCTCTCCGAAGAGATCACCGAACTGTAGCCAGTGCACGGAGGTCTTCGTGTTGACGTACGGCCCGTGAAGGGCTTTGAAAAACCTACCGTGCAACTCCTTCTCTTTCCACACGGCCTCCCGCTGAGTTATTATTATTTATTTTTTCTCAGCTTTTGCTGGTTTTCTCCACACTTACGGGCCGAAACCAAGTAACTGCAGGGTGTGTGTATGTGTGTGTGCGCGTGTATGTATGTGTGAGTGTGTGTGTACTTATTGTGTGCCTGGTGTGTTATATCATTTTCATCAATTTCGAGAAATTTTCGGACTGTACGACAGGTATTTAAGATGGCAGCTTTTTGAAGGGTGATGTAAAGTGTTTTTTGTATATCTAATTGTTTCAGGCTATGATGTAGGTGTTTGGGTATAATACCCATAGTCCTCTCATCTACAGGTATCATATAAACTTTTTCCTGTTTCCAAATTCTTGTTACTTCTTCCTTTAGCTCTGCATATTTGTTTATTTTTTCAGCAATTGTCTTCTGTCTATTATTATTATTATTTAAAGATTTTATTATTAAAACAATGACAATGATACCTAAACAGGTTGCTGGCAAGCTATTTATAGTAATGACCAGATTTTAATTCCCAACAAAAGGTTCAGAATTAAAATCTGGCCAATACTATAAATAGCTTTGTTTGTTTTATATTTCTGACTGACTTTCCTTTGATTGTATTTTTATTAAAAATGAAATTTAATTAAGAGAATCGATTCCCTCGGTCTAGCGGTGTGGTACACCTCTGTACTTCCGATAGTCGCGGGTTCGATTGCTCGCACGGTATGTGTATTCATGAGTATAATTGTTTGTATCGGTCTGAGTGTTTTATTATGGATGTATTTTTTTTAAAGGTTGATAATGGAGTGGTGCTCCTCCTGCGCTGGCGGTTTACGCTGGCAGCACCAGTGGAGGATGATAGAATGAACATGAAGTCAGATCAGTTAGCCCAAACTGACAAATTCACCGGGAATGTATCACGATGGTTTCCAGGCGGAACCGCGTGGAGGTCGATCTGACATGGTACATTGCTAGCAATGGGATCATCAGTCCACATTACTAACAATTCCCTTTCACCCCTATGGATGTAAATTATGTACCTATTTATATAATAAAAATCTATGTATTTATAACAGTTGTTTAGTACCTATAACACAAGCTCTGCTTACCGTGGGACTAGATGGCGCTGTGTTAATTGTCCTGGGTTATTTATTTATTATATTCTTAAAACTTACGGTCTGCAGCCCGCTGTCCTCTTTGCAGTCCAGTGCGTTCAGCAGATGAACTGCATCCTTCTTTGTCTTTATGTTTATTCCTGAAACATAAATGTGTATGATAATTGTGAAATAATAATACATATAAAATCACCTAGACTACAATACTGCGCCATCTAGTCCCAAGATAAGCAGAGCTAGTGTTACGAGTACTAGATTATTATAACTGATATAATTTATACCTATATATTTTTTTTTTGTAAACATATACATCTTACACTTGAATATATGTTTATATATATGTTTGTACCGTGCGAGGAATCGAATCAACGAACATCTGAAGTGTGAATGTGTTAAACCACCGATGAGGTAAAATAATCTTTATTCAAATAGACTCAATATAAGCGCTACTGAATATTTATATTTTTAGATATTAGTAGATTTTATTATTATTATAATTATAATAATAATAGATATAATTATAATTCTAATATACCACTCATTCGGAACGTATACTCGTCCTAAGGAGAATGAGCAAGAAACTTGGGTGTTGTTGCCAACGAATGAGACATATCACGGATGTTACATTATAACGTGATATAATTTACGGTCACCTATATATTTTTTGTAAACATAAAAAATCTAAAAAAGTATATATGTTTATATATATCAGATTCCAAGCAGCATACGGTAGGAAATAAACCGTCATACGAACAGATCTGCAGAAAAATAAGTAAGTATCATAACTCATACGAATCATACATTCTCGTCAAATTAAGAACTCGATCGAATCGACAATTATCCTGCATCCTTACATTCTTATTAACACGTTGACGGACAGTAGGAACAAGAATTCGAAAATTGACACTATATTTTTAGTGATTTTTAGAATGTTAGAAGTATAGTTTTATTTTCATTAAATAAACTTATATATTATATATTATATTATATATATAATATATATTTATCATTTACATTATCATTATTTATTTATATTTCAAATGAAAAACCAAAAAAAAAAGTAAACAGTATAACCTATAGTATCGTTAACCAACCTAAAATGCTAAATTTGTTTTTTTATTTCTGTTTAAAGTATAAAATGAATAATAAACAAATACATACCAGTATAGTTATATAAATAATAATAAATCGAAAAAGTATCACCTCTGCTCACAACCACGTGCATAATGAATCTGCAACTCGTATAACAGGTGAAATATGAACTTCAACGAAAAAGATGTTTTCAAAACACGAACTAAGTAAGTATCATTTACTCATACGAATTTGTGCTGCTATAGCCGTAGTGTCAAAAACGACTCGTTCGTTTTGGAATAGCGACCACATTGTGAACTCCGCATTGACCTATACAATTGTCCGTCAACGTGTTAAACTAAAAACTTAATCGAATCGGCCGACAATCAACTAAATACTTAATCAAATGACATTAAACTATCATTTTTTACGAATCGAGAACTATTCTGCAATTACATTCTCATGAAACTAAGAACTCAATCCAATTGACAACAAATATCATTCTCAATTAATTATATACTTAATAGAATAACATTCTCATAAAACTATCAGCTTCGTCGAATGATGATTGCTTACAATGACATTCTTAATAAACTACTTAAATAAATCGACAACTATGTTGTAATAATATTCCCAATCAATTATCATGCAATGATATTCTCATTAAATAAACTATCAGCTTTGTCGAATTGAGAACTATAATGCAATGATATTTTCATTAAACTATCGGTTTTCGCGAAGCAAAAACTATCATGCAATAATATTCTCATTAAACTGTCAGCTTTGTCGAATGAGAACTATCTTACAATGACATTCTCATTATACTATCAGATTGGTCAAAACAGGAACTATCATGCAATGATATTCTCATTAAACTGTCAGCTTTGTCGAATGAGAACTATCTTACAATGACATTCTCATTATACTATCAGCTTGGTCAAAACAATCATGGATATTCTATTAAACTATCAGCAATGATATTCAATGATATTCTCATTAAACTGTCAGCTTTGTCGAATGAGAACTATCTTACAATGACATTCTCATTATACTATCAGCTTGGTCAAAACAGGAACTATTATGCAATGATATTCATTCATTCATTCATTAAACTATCGATTTTCTCGAAGGGAAAACTATAACGCAATGACATTCTCATTAAACTATAAATTGTTTAAATAGATTGTGTTGATAACAAGTATCTATGTAGAAACTTCATAATAAAAAGGGGCGATCATTAGTAATCTGGATACGATGGTGATGATTATAATGAAGAATTACTCAACGTTAAACGGCCTTCCATTCATAGCAGCAGTTATAGCTTCTACGCAATAGGTTATTTCAATACAAAATCCCATTTCACCATTACCGGCATCGCAGCGGTCCCCTGGAATTAGTAAATAATAATAATATATTAGTTCATTTTTACACAATGTCACTAATTTATAGGCTGTTCGCAAGTCTTCTAAAACCATAAAAAAAAAAAATAACGCCACAATGTCCCCCCCCCCCCCCTAACCCTGCACAATTTTATTTATTTGATTTTAATTCGGATTACATCCATATTGTGTTAGTAAAAACTTATAACACTATGTTAGTAACTTATAATATACAGATACGTATATATATTTAATATAATATATGTCCATGTTAACAGGTATAATGCAACGTTATCCAGTGCCTCCGGAGCGGACAATCAGGTATATTCGCAACGGTTTTTAGGATGCTGTTTGAGCTCCCCCGAATTCTAGACATCAGTGATGCAGCTCTTTTACGCATTATGGCTTCAAATCCATCTACCCGCGCTGCTGCAAACATCTCTGATGCGCTACAGAACCGAGGGAGCCCCAATCAGATCATTCGCCGCCATCTAACAAGTGAAACGACCACCGCATGCATCAATTTTAAAAATCAAGGAGCTCCTTATATATTATAACAAACTGTATTTGTGTCGCGAGTGTGGTGTATTGTAATTGAAAACGTCAAGTGCTTCAAGTCGCCGACGTAGATCATCTATACTATATTTTTTTTTTAGGGTTGATAATGGAATGGTGCACCCGCCTGCGCTAACGGTTTACGCTGGCGGGGCACCAGTGGAGGATGATAAGATGAGCATGAGGTCAGGTCAGTTAGCCCATCGTGCAAATTCACTTTAACACGATGGTTTCCAGGGGGAACCGCGTGGAGGTCGACCTGACATGGTACATTACTAGCAATGGGGTTATCAATCCACATTACTAACAATCTCCTTCCCCCCTCTATACTATATTATATTTGTGCAATTTTGGTGGGTTCCTTATTTCCCTTGTCCTACGATCACTGCAGTGTGGCTAAAAAATACATCATAGGCCGTAACATCTATGCTAGGGAAACCCTGTGTTACAGATGTTATTTCCTTCCACAATGGTTGGTTCAATTACACAATTTTTACGTAGCTTTGACGAACTTTAATTTTTACTATGACATCTCATGAATTTGTTTATCCCTTTTATAATTGTGTAGCTAGGTAATTAGTAACATTAATTTTACATTTATATTTGACGACCTCGACAAACATTTGTATTCATGAGTATGATTGTTTGTATCGGTCTGGGTTTTTTCTATGTATAATATGTATTTATTTGTATCAGTTGCCTAGTACCCATAACACAAGCTTTAGTTAGCTTAATTTGGGTCTAGATGACGCTGTGTGAATTGTCCTCAGATTATTATTATTATATGTAGTAAGAGGGTAAATTTTTATCTGACTACTGATTTTATTATATAAGTAATTTTAATTGTCGTTGTCCAAAAGAAGATTTGCATTTTATTGTAGTAAATATTTTATCTTGTCTACGTTTAGTATGTATGTATGTATGTCCTGTATGTATTGTTGAGCAGATAAATAAATCTTACTTATAAATCTTAATATTATAAAGTTTGTAAGTATGGATGTTTGTTACTCTGTCACGCAAAAACTACTGAACGGATTTTGATGAAACTTTACCGTAATATAGTTTATGCGTTAGAATAACACATAGGCTATATTATACATATATATACTAGTTTTTGCTCGCGGCTTCGCTAGCGTTAATTTATCCCTTTAGGAGTGGAATCTACGTCATATTAGTTTTAAGTATGCAAAGTCTCAGCCCGATCGGTTTAAAATTGACGAAGTTTCATACAAACTTTCACCCCTATTTTATCCCCTTGGGGGTAGAATTAATCAAAATCCTTTCTTAGCGGATGCCTACGTCATAACATCTACCTGCATGCCAAATTTCAGCCCGATCCGTCCAGTGGTTTGGGCTGTGAGTTGATAGATCACTATGTCAGTCACCTTTGAGTTTTATATATTTAGATATACTTTATTGCACTTATTATATTAATAAATAAAGACAGTTATACAAAAATGTGTGCAAGGACGGGCTTATCGCTGCAAGAGATCTTCCAGCCAACCTAACGCTGTCATAAAGGTGTTTTTTTTTTTGGGATGATAATGAAATGCTGCACCCGCCTGCACTAACGGTTTACGCTGGCGGGGCACCACTGAAGGATGATAAGACAAACATGAGGTCAGGTCAGTTAGCCCATCGTGACAAATTCACTAGGAATTTATAACAATGGTTTCCAGGAGGAACCGCGTGGAGGTCGACATAACATGGTACATTGCTAGCAATGGAGATTACTAGTTCCCATTACTAACAATCCCCTTTCCCCCTCATAGAGGTGGAAGTTAGCGGGCAACGATAGTGCTTGAGTTTTTATAATAGATAACAATATTCTAATATTATATTTTAATATAGGGGCGAACCCGCTGGTACAAATAAATAAATCAATAAATAAACAAAAATAAAGAACTAACATTTCATTTGACAGTCTCGATGGTACAACGCAGTAGCGCATTTTCGGTGGTCCCGCTTTCGATTCCTCGTTTGTATCAGTCACGGTGATTTCTGGGTATTTCTATGATAAAAAAAAGCTAAGAAAACAAGACAATACAATAATAATAATAATCATCTCAGGACAATTCACACACAGTCTTTACTTTGCTTATTTTCGATGACACGGCGGGTAGGGGAGTCTAAATGATGATTACGTCATTGGCAGTTATTTACTTTCTTACACGAATGGCAACTCACATTGTCTTTACTAAAAAAACAATACATTAACTGAAAAATGTTTATGTAATCATGAAGGGAGGGGGTAAGGGTAAGTAATGCCTAGGAATGAGGATAATATTTTAAGAAAGGTGTTACATATGAATATGGATGGTTATAAGGGCAGAGGAAGGCCGAAAAAGAGATGGATGGACTGTGTGAAAGATGATATGGTAAGAAAGGAAGTAAATAACGCGATGACTGCGAACAGGGATGAATGGAAGCGAAAAACATATTACGCCACAAATAAATGGGATAAGGAAGAAGCAGATGATGATGATGATGATGATGGAGGGAGGGGGTAAGAGCTTTGCTTTCGTTCGAGCGTTTTTCTGCTTACGTATCTAATACTCGAACGGCCCCCACTGAAAAACCACACGGTGTACCTACAAAATTAAGAAAAAACCTGAAGGGGGTGAAATAAAGGATCTTTCTTTCTTTATTTCACCCCCTTCAGATTTTTTTAAACTGGTAACTGACGTTAAACATACCTTCAAGCGACTCCTCCGAACTGTCTTTAAACACATTGCACGTCAAAATGGTAATACATAAAGTTAATTTTATATTCCGCATTACTGTTACATCAAATGTAATAATTTAATTGATATTACTACGTTAATTAATAATTATTACTTTATTAACAAACAAAACAAACTAATCGTAAATATTTAATGCAGAACAACATTTATTTAAAAGAGCAACACACAAGTTTTTCGCTCGTTCTTCTTATGATAAGTCTGCGTTCCAAATGAGTGGTAGAATAAAAAATATTCAAAAGTGCTTGTATTGAGTTTAGTCGAATAAAGATTATTTCTATTTGATATTTAAATAACTATATAACTTTATATATATATGTATAAATAATGTTCTTTCTTTTTGATCAGTTTTTTCTTTCGTATGCTTTTTAGATATATATATATTACCTAAGAATAGTTTTCTGTTACTATAAATATATCTACTGGTTACATACGTAAGATGTATTAATAGACTGAACTTTTATATCTCCAGTAGGGTGACCAGTAGTCTGTATTTTATCGGGATATCCTAATAATAAACGTCGTGACCTTTCCGTACTTTTTATACATTATTATTATATGCATACTAGATGACAATAACAATTTTTATTTATAAATTTATTATTATTATTCATTTAATTATTATTAATTATTAATTGTTAAAATTATAAAAAAATAACAAACGTTGTTTAGAACCATTTATTCAAATAAACTTAATTTAAGCACTTTAGATTAGTAATAATTTTTTTTTTTTAATTCTTATTATATTTTATTCGGAAAGCTGTCTGATCACAAGAACAATAAGCAAGAAACTTGTGTGTTGCTCTTTTAAACAATCCTTGTAAGTTCACATTCTTCAATTCGAAACGTGTGAATACAAACTACCAACCAGCACTAATTTACTAGGGTCAAGTATAAATATACAATAAGATTAAATCTCTACAAGCAGCACTAGTTCACGAGTATTTTTTTGCCATGTAAATTAAAATCGCTATTAAAAACTAGGGGTTGGTGATAGAAGGGTGAAACTTTAGGGTTGTATGTACTTTTTAATGCCACATTATAAAAAATAAAAATAATTGTCCAAATAATAAAAAGTAATGTCAGGGGTGGACAACCCTTATCACTCAGAGGTAAAAATAGATAGTAACCGATTCTCAGACTTACTGAATATGTATATAAAATGTAATAAATCTGTTAAGCCGTTTCGGAGGAGTATGGTAACTGATATTGTGACATCATACTCGTGAATGAGTGTTGCTTGTGGGGACTGGTCTGTTCGGGTTACGAACACTGATTACACTATATGCTTTTGCAATTGCATATGCTAGTGGTTACTCTATTCTACCAAATTTGAATTTAAAATGAATCTGTATTATTGTAAACATGTACAACATTTATTTGAAAAGAATACGAGCTGAGTTTCTTGTCAGTTCTTCTCATCTCGAAATCATTCCGAACTGACGGTAGATTTGACATATCATAAGAGTCTGTAATAGACCTACATGAATAAAGATATTTTGAATTGTATTATTATTATAGATTATTATTATTATAGAAGATTTTTCTCTTCTATTATTTCATTTATGATTATTATTAAATCCCGAAAAATTTCTCATCAGAGTGGGTCACCCTAATTATCAAACTGGTCTGTCCACATTATATATATTCATACACTGCACCTTCAGTTCTATATATATATATATATATATATATATAAATATATGAGGTAATAAAAACTATATTTACCACAAAAACAAGCAGGTTTCTCGTCTTTATCGCCTCAGAGGTTTAGCGGTTTTACACACCGTTTTATTACCAATGATCGCGGGTTCGATTCTTCGTAGGCGAACTCTATTTAATCCCTTTGGGGGTAGAATTAATCAAAATCCTTTCTTAGCGGATGCCTACGTCATAACATCTACCTGCATGTCAAATTACAGCCCGATGCGTCCAGTGGTTTGGGCTGTGCGTCGATAGATCACTACGTCAGTCAGTCACCTTTGAGTTATATATATTTAGATAAAATAATAATGTTTTTTGTTTAAGTAGTATATATAGTTAAGTATAATAGTTTTAAAATATAAACGTGTTGGCAATTAGCTATAAGTTTATATTGTGTTAATTGAATAAATAAATAAATAAGATGCTTCAAATAAATGGTCACCCAAAAAAAAACTAACAAACTAACTAATCATTATTTTCTTGAAAATAATGATTTGTTAGTTTGTTAGTTTTTTTTTAAATGAAAATTGAAATGAAAATACTAACAAATCATTATTTTCTTTATTCCTCTTCAGACCAAACCACACTCTATATCCTGAGCAGTATGGCAGTATTTTAAATAAATGGTCACCCAATGAAAATACTAATAAATATATCAGCTTTTTATTCCTTTTCAGACCAAACCACACTATATCCTGAGCAGTATGGCAGTATTTTAAATAAAGGGTCACCCAATGAAAATACTAACAAAGCATTATTTTCTTTATTCCTCTTCAGACCAAACCACACTCTATATCCTGAGCAGTATGGCAGTATTTTAAATAAATGGTCACCCAATGAAAATACTAACAAATCATTATTTTCTTTATTCCTCTTCAGACCAAACCACACTCTATATCCTGAGCAGTATGGCAGTATTTTAAATAAAGAGTCACCCAATGAAAATACTAACAAATCATTATTTTTTTTATTCCTCTTCAGACCAAACCACACTCTATATCCTGAGCAGTATGGCAGTATTTTAAATAAAGAGTCACCCAATGAAAATACTTTCTAATCATTTTTTTTTTTATTCCTCTTCAGACCAAACCACACTCTATATCCTGAGCAGTATGGCAGTATTTTAAATAAAGAGTCACCCAATGAAAATACTAACAAATCATTATTTTTTTTATTCCTCTTCAGACCAAACCACACTCTATATCCTGAGCAGTATGGCAGTATTTTAAATAAAGAGTCACCCAATGAAAATACTAACAAATCATTATTTTTTTTATTCCTCTTCAGACCAAACCACACTCTATATCCTGAGCAGTATGGCAGTATTTTAAATAAAGAGTCACCCAATGAAAATACTAACAAATCATTATTTTTTTTATTCCTCTTCAGACCAAACCACACTCTATATCCTGAGCAGTATGGCAGTATTTTAAATAAAGGGTCACCCAATGAAAATACTAACAAATATATTTTTTTTATTCCTCTTCAGACCAAACCACACTCTATATCCTGAGCAGTATGACAGTATTTTAAATAAATGGTCACCCAATGAAAATACTAACAAATCATTATTTTTTTTATTCCTCTTCAGACCAAACCACACTCTATATCCTGAGCAGTATGGCAGTATTTTAAATAAATGGTCACCCAATGAAAATACTAACAAATCATTATTTTCTTTATTCCTCTTCAGACCAAACCACACTCTATATCCTGAGCAGTATGGCAGTATTTTAAATAAATGGTCACCCAATGAAAATACTAACAAATCATTATTTTTTTTATTCCTCTTCAGACCAAACCACACTCTATATCCTGAGCAGTATGGCAGTATTTTAAATAAAGAGTCACCCAATGAAAATACTAACAAATCATTATTTTTTTTATTCCTCTTCAGACCAAACCACACTCTATATCCTGAGCAGTATGGCAGTATTTTAAATAAAGGTCACCCAATGAAAATACTAACAAATATTATTTTTATTCCTCTTCAGACCAAACCACACTCTATATCCTGAGCAGTATGGCAGTATTTTAAATAAATGGTCACCCAATGAAAATACTAACAAATATATATTTTTTTATTCCTCTTCAGACCAAACCACACTCTATATCCTGAGCAGTATGGCAGTATTTTAAATAAAGAGTCACCCAATGAAAATACTAACAAATCATTATTTTTTTTATTCCTCTTCAGACCAAACCACACTCTATATCCTGAGCAGTATGGCAGTATTTTAAATAAAGAGTCACCCAATGAAAATACTAACAAATCATTATTTTTTTTATTCCTCTTCAGACCAAACCACACTCTATATCCTGAGCAGTATGGCAGTATTTTAAATAAATGGTCACCCAATGAAAATACTAACAAATCATTATTTTTTTTATTCCTCTTCAGACCAAACCACACTCTATATCCTGAGCAGTATGGCAGTATTTTAAATAAATGGTCACCCAATGAAAATACTAACAAATCATTATTTTTTTTATTCCTCTTCAGACCAAACCACACTCTATATCCTGAGCAGTATGGCAGTATTTTAAATAAATGGTCACCCAATGAAAATACTAACAAATATATCAACTTTTTATTCCTCTTCAGACCAAACCACACTCTATATCCTGAGCAGTATGGCAGTATTTTAAATAAATGGTCACCCAATGAAAATACTATTTTTTTTTTTTTTTTTTTTATTGGGTTGTTTGGGCTATTGTCAGATGTGTAGCACCTGTAGCACTGCGACCTACATAGATCTATTGTGCTCGCCCTTTTCAGAGTTCGCTACCTAGACCCGTCAGGGACAAGAATTGAAGGATATTCTTAGAGCGATCGTTTTTATCTCCTCGGGAAAGAGTGTAAACTTTCCAAAGGAGATATTTCGTTTATGCATGAGTGGGCTACAACCACATAGGATGTGAAGCGGCGTTTCCTCTTCAGTTTGGCAGAATCTGCAGATACTTGTCGTGCATAGGCCTAGCTTAGCCATATCATTATTTTCTTGTTCAATTTGCAGTGTCCTGTGAGGGCCCTAGTCATCATGCATATGTTGTTTTTACTCAATAGCAGTAATCTATTGGAGTATTTGGTCGAGAAGCCCGATATAAGGTCTTTTGAGTGTATTAATCCTGGCATTTCTTGCCAGTGATTCAGTGCTTCTCGTTTGGTTATTAATTTGAGATGTCCCAGTTTTAGGCAACGAGGCACACCACAGAAGGGTTCGGGGCCCAGTTGGACGGTTTTTGCCCCTAACTTTGCCAGATGGTCGGCATTCTCATTGCCTTCAATATTTGAATGCCCGGGGACCCATCTCAGTATAATATTATTTCTGCTTCCTACTTCATTTAGTAGCAGGATACAGTTTCTAATAAGTTTAGAACGGATTTCGTACGAGTTAAGTGCTAGTAGAGCAGCTTGACTGTCCGAATAAATGTATATGTTCTGATTGATGTAGTTGAGGCTTAGGATTACTTCCAGACATCTAATTAAGGCGTAAGTCTCTGCCTGAAAGATTGAGGCGTATTTTCCTAAGCCTATATAGTTGCAGATTTTGGGTTTTACACCACATATTCCACATCCTACATCATCTCCTATTTTGGACCCGTCTGTAAACCAGACTAGGTCATGCTCTGAGTGAGACGGTGTATGGTTATTTTGCCATTCGTCTCTTCCAGATATTTCGATTTTGTAATATTGTACAAAGTTACACTCTGGTGCCATGTTGTCTTCAGGCATTCCCAGAATAGGATCACTCATAATCGAGTCTTGTATAGTTTTTATGGCCAGGGAATGCCAAGATATCCTCCTTTGGGAACTTATTCTGAGCATATTGGCTTTCGCCTTTTCCTGTATGAATAAAGGAAGGGGCGTCAAGTTCAATAATGCGTCTAGAGCTGCTCCCGGCGTGGTGCTCATGGCTCCTGTAATAATCAGACAAGCAATTCTCTGTAGGCTGTTTAGCTTGGTGGCGGCTGTGGATTGGAGGGTTTTCCTCCACCAGATAGCGCAGGCATAGGTGGTAAGCGGTCTCACCACTGCTGTGTAAAGCCATAGGGCAATTTTGGGGTTGATTCCCCATCTGGGCCCCGCTACCCGTCGGCTTATACCTAAGGATGTTTTCGCCTTTTGAGTTATGTTGTCTATGTGTGTGTTCCATGTCAGTTTTTGGTCGAAGGTTACGCCCAGGTACTTGACTTCTTTGGAGCACTCTAATATTCTTCCATTTACTGTAGGCATGACAAGTTTGTCAAGTTTCTTCCTTTATGTAAACGGAACAATTACTGTTTTATCAGGATATACTGATAATTCATTTTCCTTACACCATTTAACTATGATGTTTAGTCTCTTTGGATGCGGTCTGATATTGTTGTTGCACAGAACCCTCTGACCATGACTACTAAATCGTCTGCGTAGCCTTGTACCTCAATTTGGTTTTTGGTCATAACATCTAAGAGCTGGTCTACCGTTTGTAGCCACAGCAGTGGCGATAAAACGCCTCCTTGAGGGCATCCTTTGGTAGGTCGGATTTCTAACGTACTGTTGTGAAGAGTAGTTTTAATGGTTCGATTTGAGAGCATTGCTTTGATCCATTGAGTGGTGGTTTCATCCACTTTCTTGCGGATGAGTCCCTGTGAGATGGTCTCTATGGGCGTGTTATCAAAAGCACCCTCAATATCGAGAAATGCACATAGAGCTATTTGTTTGTCCTCAAAGGCCTTCTCGACCTTGTCGGTGAGTTCGAGCAAGGCGGTCTCTGTGGAATGTCCCTTGCGGTAGGCATGTTGATTCCTGTGCAGGGGAGCATTTTCGAGGATTGTAGCTCTAATGTGTTGGTCCAGAACCTTTTCCATGGTTTTTATTATGAAAGAGGTTAGGCTTATAGGTCTGTGAGACTTTGGCTGCGAGTAGTCTCTTCGACCGGTTTTCGGTACGTAGGTAACTTTGACCTTCGTTAATGGTTCTGGTATAAAACCCCAGGCAAAGCTGGCTCTAAATATTCTTACCAGATAGGGAGATAGGATGTCAAGCCCTTGTTGTAACAGGGCCGGGAAAATTCCATCTTCTCCCGATGATTTATATGGCTTGAAAGATTTTATAGCCCATATAATTTGTTTTGGTCGAAAAATCCTCGCAGCTCTGTTCCACGCCTCATGGTTGGGCTTTTGTAGCTGTGAGCTTGGAGGATTCTCCTTATCTCTTGAGATATGAACCGAACCAGGGAAGTGGGTTGTAGATAGCAGCTGTAGAGTTTCTTCCTCTGATGTCGTATAGGTACCATTGGGCCTTTTCATAAGTCCAATTTGGTTATTTGGCGCCTTGGCAAGCATTTTGTGTAATCTGGATCCTTGGGGAGTCTGAGTTATCTCCTCGCAGAAAGCACGCCATGATGCTCTTTTGGCTTTCCTAATTTCGCAGTAGTATTCCGTTTGGGCTTTACTATATTGGGCCCATTCGAAAGGTCCCTTTTTAGCCCTGTTGGATAATTTGCGAGTTTTCTTCCTCAGCTTTTCTAGACTCTTATTCCACCAGGGTGTTTTACATTTGGCGGTTTTGGTTTTGATGGGACAGTTGTTCTGGTAGGCACTTATTATGCCACTTAGAAGTATGTCCACAGCGAGTTCTAGTTCTAGAGGAGATTTGATACTCTTCGGAAGGTCCGCAATTAGGCTTGTAAGACTGTCTCTGTATTTAGGCCAATCTGTAGCCTTTGGGTTTCTGTAGAGTATGGGGTTTGAGTCTGTTGCAGCCTCAATTGTGAATCTGATGTGCTTGTGATCAGACATGGAGTTCTCATTGCTGACATGCCAATGAGTGATATATTCGGCCAGTTTGTCGGTCGCAAGTGTTATATCTAGTACCTCTTGTCTTGTGGCAGTGACGAACGTCGGTGTGCACCCTGTATTTAGGATTTGAAGGCAGTTGGTTATATAAAATCATCAAGTGACTTACCTCTGGTGTTGATGTCAGAGCGTCCCCAGTTTGTGTGATGGGCGTTTGCATCGCAGCCCACGAGGAGTTCGGCCTTGTGCTTACGGGCATATTCCACCACAGGCTGTAGGCCGGTTGTCGGGTCTTTGATGATTTTGTTGTTTTCATCATGTCCAGGTAGGTATGCAGAGCAGACCAGTACTTTTGACCCTGTGCATCCAAAAATTGACGAAGGCTGTCACTAGGTCATCTGTACATAGTTCTGGAACAGTCAGAAAATCTAGTTTCTTATTAAAAAGAATGCATGCTCTAGGTTTAGTGCCAGTGGTATTAAAAAGAATATTACCTGAGGCATTGAGGCCTAAAGGCGTGGCTTTGTTGAGCCATGGCTCTTGTACCAGAGCAAGGTCCAGGTCGTTTTTGCGGAAGAGGTTTTCTATGACCGCTGTTGCTGCCATAGCATGATGTAAGTTGACCTGGACAATGTTGGCTCTGATACATTTCTTGCGTGTGGGCGTGTTAGCAGCTTCCTTTCGCCTTCCCTGTCATCACATTTATGTTTTTGATGGGATAATGTACTACGTGGGCGTCCCTTTGGGTTGCGATTGGAAGCTGTGGCGCTCCTGCCGCGATCTTTCCGTCCCGTCTTGAAACTGGGGATCCTCGTCTGCGAGGTCCCCTTTGGCTGGGGAAAGCTGCCTCTGGCGGGTTTGGCGTTGGTGTCTACGCCCTTCGCCGCTTCGGATGGTGTGGGTATTTCTGTGGCAGATCTTCCATTACCGTCCGAAGTAGGCTGCTGTGTAGGCGTGGATATCCCCTTGACCCGGAACAGGACCTTTTTAAAGCCAAGGTTGACTTTATAGTCCTGTGTTTTGAGGAAGTCATATATAAGGCTCGTCCAGAGATACGGTCAGGACTGTACCGTTCTCTTCATTACGGTTGATATTTTCCACAGTTCGGAATTTAGGCAGTCATTTTGGGACTTCAGCATTCTGAGTGCCTCATCGACCGACCTTGTCTCCGAACTGGGGATGAAGGCCGTTCCAATGGCTGGTTTGGGCATCGCTCTCTCGTCCAACACAGAGAGTTCTGCGTCGGCCCATGGTTTTAGGGAGGGCGTTATGCTCTCCAGCCATATTTTGGTCGGCTCATTCTGGCAAGTGATAAGTAGCCAACCAGTTTGAAACTGCAACCTACAAATCGAGGGCCCTTCCCAGCTTCCGTGATCTTATAACTTCCCGGAGAACTGAGGAGCGCACCATGCTCATCATTTCGTCCGTCATTGGGGCCGTGTGTCGTATCCCCACTCGGAACGATTTGAGAGCATCCTTATAGGTTGCAGTTCCCTCCTTTGCGTTTACGTTCGTCCCTGTAGTCGTTACGCGCTGCTTGGGTGCAGGCGTTCGCAACTGGTGGGCCGTATTCGTAGAGCGCTTAGTTGAGCTACTAGTGACACTTGTTGGTGCAAACACCATTGGGCTTGAAGAGCCACCTGGTGTCGCAAGTGCCTGGTATGTGACTCTAGGTGTCTGAGGTACAGTAACACGCTGGTGACTTTGCAGTCTCCGCTGCCTGGGTACCTTTCCCGGTGGGCGTCGGCTGCGCCACGCGAGGCGCTTTGTGCGTATGCTCCTTTGGGGACACCTCCTCCTCCATGAAAATACTAACAAATATATCAACTTTTTATTCCTCTTCAGACCAAACCACACTCTATGTCCTGAGCAGTATGGCAGTATTTTAAATAAATGGTCACCCAATGAAAATACTAACAAATATATCAACTTTTTATCCTCTTCAGACCAAACCACACTCTATATCCTGAGCAGTATGGCAGTATTTTAAATAAATGGTCACCCAATAAAAAAATACTAACAAATATATCATCTTTTTATTCCTCTTCAGACCAAACCACACTCTATATCCTGAGCAGTATGGCAGTATTTTAAATAAATGGTCACCCAATGAAAATACTAACAAATATATCAACTTTTTATTCCTCTTCAGACCAAACCACACTCTATGTCCTGAGCAGTATGGCAGTATTTTAAATAAATGGTCACCCAATGAAAATACTAACAAATATATCAACTTTTTATTCCTCTTCAGACCAAACCACACTCTATATCCTGAGCAGTATGGCAGTATTTTAAATAAATGGTCACCCAATAAAAAAATACTAACAAATATATCATCTTTTTATTCCTCTTCAGACCAAACCACACTCTATATCCTGAGCAGTATGGCAGTATTTTAAATAAATGGTCACTCAATGAAAAAATACTAACAAAGCATTATTTTTTATGAACTTCAGACTAAACCACACTCTATCCAGGACAGGCAGTATCTTTACATAGTATAAAACAAAGTCGCTGTCGCTGCCTGTCCGTTCATATGTATGATTAAATCTGTAAAGCTACGCAACGGATTTTGAAGCGGTTTTTTTAAAAGATAGAGTGATTCAAGAGGAAGGTTTATATAATACATGTTAGCTGGTTTTGAATAAAGGGTCACCGAATTAGACTAACAAATATATAATTTTTTTATTTATCTTCAGACCAAACCACACTCTCTCTCATCTCATCAGGGCAGGTATCGCATTTTAAATAAACTAAAGCCCAGCTGCGGCCAACAGCATTAGAGTAGTCCGAGAGAGAGAGAGAGGGTAACCTTTTTTTTGCTTTTTCTGCCTGCAGATTTATTGGGAAAAAAATACTCACAAATAAATCAGTGCCGTTTGACGAAAGTTAGTAATTCGTTTTATGGAAATAGCGTAAGGTTTTACAACTGCCAGAGACTGTACTCAAAATTGTTACCATCATTACACCTCTACCAGACGCAAATCAAATCACTTCTCTCCATCCTAAGGTTGCCTGGAAGAGATCGCTTTTTAGCGATAAGGCCGCCCATTGTTACCTCGTCTTGTTTATTGTTTTTTTTTTATCATATTATACATAATTGTATTTTCTGTGAGAGGAACAATAAAGTGTTTCATTTATTCAGCCATTAAATTCGATTTGCCAGAAAAAACTTGTAAAAAAGCTTATTATAAAAATGAAGAATTTATAAATGATAATAATGTTTTTGTAGAAAATATCTAACTTAAAATTCATAGCGCTGTCAATGTTATCTGATTGAACAGAGATTAAGTGCGTAGCGGTTTCTCTGTTGATTATCGCATGCCTAATCCTTGTTAATGTAAATATAATTAAAACAATATTTATTAAAAAGAGCAACATACAAGTTTCTTGCTCGTTCTTCTTGTGATGAATCTGCAATCCGAATGAGTGGTAGAATAAAAAAAAAGACTATTCAAAAGTGCTTATATTAAGTTTATTTGAATAAAAATTATTTCTATTTCTATCATCTATCAACTGTTTATTCCTCTTCAGACCAAACCACACTCTCTATCCAGGGCAGGTATGGCAGTATTTTGGTGTATACTCCAGGCAGGCCGGGTAGCCCACAAGCGTAACCAAACGAGGTCACTCCAATGATGGAGTGGAGGCACTGGATATTGTTGCGGATCAGCAGGGGTCCACCGCTATCACCCTGCAATACATATAAACAATAATACTTTATCTATACATATAAATAAAATTGGAGTGTCTGTTTGTAATATTGAAATAACCGTTTTTTATTACATGCATAAGAATATAAATACGGTACATACAACAAAATATTATTTTTTACAATTTTTGTTTGTCTGTCTGTCTGTTCCGGGTAATCTTTGAAATGGCAATACGGATTTTGACGGGACTTTTATTGGCAGGTAGCTGATTTAATAAGGAGTAACTTAGGCTATTTTTATTTTATAAGAATTGAGTTAAGTTGTATATAAGATCACAAAATTAAAAGGAGAGTTTATAATAGTTGAGGTCAGTTAGGTAGGTAATCAAATGGCAGAAAGTTGCCTGTGCTATAGGTATCAGTGCTCTCTGGTAACATGTATTAACTTATTAACTATATATTACATAAATATTAATAGATGCTAACTATATTTTAAGAAAGATGTTACAAATGAATGTGGATGGTTATAAGGGCAGAGGAAGGCCAAAAAAGAGATGGATGGACTGTGTGAAAGTAGTAAGAAAGGAAATGGTAAGAAAGGAAGTAAATAACGCGATGACTGCGAACAGGGATGAATGGAAGCGAAAAACATATTACGCCGACCCCAAATAAATGGGATAAGGAAGAAGCAGATGATGATGATGAATAGATACTAACTATACTTGTGGTGTATGTAACTTTATTAACTATATATTTACTAATTACATCATCACTACATAGTATAAAACAAAGTCGCTGTCGCTGTCAGTCCCTATGTATGCTTAAATCTTTAAAACTACGCAACGGATCTTGAAGCGGTGTTTTTTAAAAGATAGAGTGATTCAAGAGGAATGTTTATATATATAATACATGTATAATATTGTAGAGAAACACTGATCAATTTAGAGAACAGAGTGATGTCGTATATAAACATATTTTTTGCGCTTACATTGCAAACGCTGGCTGAACCCTACGAGATAAATCAAAATCTAGACACGCGGTAGCGTGTCAGGCCGAGTTTCAAGTAAGAGAACTGGCGAGCAGCACCGTGTGTATATTTACACGAACCATTTGGAGCCACTTTTGACCTCCTCATAACTCAAAAACTATTTCACACAAACCTGTCAAATTAGGTTCATATATTGAGACTTGCGAGATAAATATGTGTTCCAAATTTCATAAACATATCTCAAACGGTTATTTAGATATTAACGTCCAAATATCGTCATTTTTATAGACCTTAGGCTACAGTATATTATCCTAAGTTATAAGAAGAAATGATATTATATATTGTTATAAATACATTTCAGGACAGACCATTGAACTTGGCACCCATTTAGATCTCATCTCTTTTGTCGTAGAAGTCAACAATCAAGGCATATATCATAATATTAAACTCGGCTATCATTTCACATTTATGTTTTTGATGGGATAATGTACTACAGTGTTGTACATCTTAAATAGATCAACAAAATTTTTTGGGATATGTCTATCTCTTAAGGGACTTAACCTATAATAACATAAATGCAAAAATGGCTTATTTATGAAGTGATTTTAAGCAATACAGCATTAATTTTTATCACATTAGTACCTTAAATACATGGTCCATCATTACATAGTACAAAACAAAGTCGCTGTCGCTGTCTGTCCGTCCCTGTGTATGCTTAAATCTTTAAAACTACGCAACGGATCTTGAAGCGGTGATTTTTAAAAGATAGAGTGATACAAGAGGAAGGGTTATATATATAATACATCGTGCGAAGCCAGGATGGGTAGTTAGTTTAATATAGATAAATATATTTACAGCTTGTAATTTAAATGAATATTTCCGAAGATATTACAGATTTAAAATGCAGGGACATAGCGGTGCGGCGGTACCGGCCCGGCTGGCGGCGCTAAACAAAACATGTTTGTACTGTCTAATGACAAAAAGATGTAAACGTTGTTTATAAAGACATTCTGCAGTAGATAGGTACATATATTTAGTATCAGTATTGCATTGTGCGAAGTTAAACGGGTCGCTAGTAATATGGATAAGTTATACAGCGATCCAGTCCAAAACTGATAACCTTAGTTAATTTAATGGAGTATCTTGCCAGTTCTTCTCAATTGGATTTATATACTGAACTGGACGGTACGGAAAAAAATTAGAAAAAAAAAAAAATTGACGTTCATAAGCGGCTAAAATGTCCTACATGAATGCCAGCTATTTTGAATTTGATCGATATTACGATGGCCTGAGCCGAGGTTCGAACCCCTAGTAGTGCCCTCATACTAAAGTCGTATCCGTCAGTTTAATAAAGCTGATTTTGAATTTGAAATTATGTAAAAAAATTATTAATCTATCTGTATATTGTGAACTTACCTGACAGGTGTCTCTTGGTCTCTTCCTGTGTCCGTAACACACTTGCGTGGTATGGTTGATCCCGTTCCTTAACAGTCGAGTGATATGGAACTTAGAGAAGCATTCTTCCTCAGAAAACTTGAACAGCTCCGTCTAGAAAAATGGATTAAAAAATATTAAATAACCCAAAATATATTATAACTAGCTTTTGCTCGCGTTAATTTATACTCTTAGGGGTGGAATTTATCAAAAGCTTTATGCATGCAAAGTCTGAGCCCGATCGGTTTAAAATTGACGAAGTTTCATACAAACTTTCATCCCCTATTTTATCCCCTTGGGGATAGAATTAATCAAAATCGTTTCTTAGCGGATGCCTACGTCATAACATCTACCTGCATGCCAAATTTCAGCCCGATCCGTCCTTTCCGACCTTTGAGTTATATATATTTAGATAAATGTAAGATATATCAACTCTATGTACTAGTAAAAGTATGTATTATAATAAAATAACAACTCATCATCTGCTTCTTCCTTATCCCATTTATTTGGAGTCGTCGTAATATATTTTCTCTTCCATTCATCCCTGTTCGCAGTCATCGCGTTATTTACTTCCTTTCTTACCATATCATCTTTCACACAGTCCATCCATCTCTTTTTCGGTCTTCCTCTACCCTTATAACCATCCACATTCATATGTAACACCGTCTTTAGAACATGATCTTCATTCCTACGCATTACATGCCCATACCACGATAGACGATAATAAAATAACAACTATATAGCATTAATTTAACTATGTCTCTAACACAATTCACTTTAGTATTTAAAATACAACCAGCACATCCTGTGCTCAAACACCGAATGCCGTGGCTTTTTTTCGGACTACTCTAATGCTGTTGGCCACAGCTGGCCTTTACAGCTTCACCGGACGATAGGGGGCGAGTGCAGATGGCACTCCAAACCAAAGGAAGGACTTATGGAGCGGCTGAAGGCCAACTCCCGCCTGACGGATACGAATTTAGTCTGAAGCTACCGCTAGGGGTTCGAACCTCGGCTCAGGCCGTCGTAATATCGATCCCCGTTTGAATTGGACGGGGGATCGATCGGAGGGGACGCCGTGACTTACAAAAACCCTCCATTTTATACAGAGAAGATATGAGTGGGGGTTATACGCAACTAGTTTAACGATACCGAGTAATAATGAAAGTATCTTTTAATATTTTTAAAATTTCTGATTTTTTGACAATATCAATGTGAACCCTAACATAAATATTTTTGATAATTACCTTTTGAAGAATGTTAGCATTATTGCCTGTATATCCCTGCGCACCCCAACCCACGGTTGTCCTTGGGAGGCCCTCATCATCTGAACTGTCCACGTGTAGACACGCTGGCTGGACCCTCTGACTGAATGTGATTCTGGCAAACAGATAATTTTAATCAAATCAAAAACTTTAACGAATTTTAATACAGTTTTTAGCAATAGATAGAGTGATTCAAGATGAAGGTTTACACCGGGAAGGATCGCTAGTGTATAATAAAAAAAAAATCAATAATAAATAAAAATCATTACGAAGCAATAGGTATGCAATGTACCATATCAGGTTGGTCTCCACCACGTAGTACCCTCTGGTGATAAATTCTTGGTTTGCCACGATGTGCTACATGACCTGACCTCATGCTCATCCTATCTATTAGGCACATTGATTTTAGAAGAAAAAGTCGAATCCATCACATTTAAAATAAGTAATCAGGTTGATAAGTAACAGTTTATATGTAACGTACAATGTAAGGGGCGATATTGGTTTAACTTCGTTTGGCCGCACATGGAGTACTGCTCTCAACTTTGGGCAGGAGCACCTGGATACCAGCTCGGTCCTTTTGACTCGGTTCAGAAACGAGCTATGAGAATTGTCGATGATCCCAATCTCTCTGTCTATATCGAGCCGCTTAGTGTGTTCTACCGATTATACAACGGACTGTGTTCTGAGGAATTGTTAGATATGATGCCTACGGCCACCTTTCACCATCGCACCGCTCGCCATCAACAGGGAATTCATTCCCACACGCTGGAACCTAAGTGGTCTCGGACAGTGCGGTTTCAGAGGAGCTTCCTCCCACGTACACTTAGATTGTGGAATGAACTACTAGCCGAGGTTTTCTCACGAGACTACAGCATGGGGTTTTTCAAGAAGGATATATTAAGGTTTGTTAAGGCTCGGCAACGCGCACGTTATACCCCTGGTGCTTCAGACGTCCATAAGCTACGGTAACCATTTACCATCAGATGGGCCGTATACTTGTTTGCCACCATAGTAGTATAAAAAAAACTATAATTAGTGATTAGTATTTTAACAGATTTAATTTTGGATATGTTCTTTGCTACTATTGTTCTACTGTTTACTCTTCTGTATATTGTTTTATATTATGTATTTAAATGTAGAGATGTAGAGTGTCTTAAATGTAATGGATTAAGGGACCGTATTAGGCACATTGATTTTAGAAGAAAAACTCTAATCCATCACATTTAAAATAAGTGATCATGTTGTAATAGTTTATATGTAACGTGCAACTGTGATCGGAACGAGAACAAATTATATTTACTGCTATGTGTAATCCACTGAATATCTCCATCACTATCATCCTCCACTGGTGCCTCGCCAGCGTAAACCGTTAGCGCAGGCGGATGCACTAGTCCATTCCAATCATCATCTAGATAAAGAAAATATAAATAAAAAACTCCATACTTGCGGTCAGTTTCCAAGAGAGCTATATCGTTGTACTTGACGGGTGGCTTGTAATCAGGATGAATTATGATTCTCTTCACGTTATATATGAGATCCTGCTTGAGGTCCGAGCGCGCCAATAATCCTAGAGCAACAAATGATACGCTGCCTCTGAAATTAAAGGTCCACGTTATACAATTGGCTCCCCAAATAATTAAGGATAGAGGAGTTGGAGATACCCCTGCATCTAGACCCGATTATTCTTCACCAGCGGATTAGTAAAGGTTCAAGCCATACAATTGGCACCCCAAATAATTGGGGATAGAGGAGTTGGAGATACCCCTGCATCCAGATAGGAATCTTCTTCAGAAGCGGGTTAGTAAAGTTTCATGCTATACAATTGGCACCCCAAGTAATTGGGGACAGAGGATATGGAGACGCCCCTGCATCTAGACCGGATGCTTTTTCACCAGAGGATTAGTAAAGGTCCACGCTATATAATTGGCACCCCAAATAATTGGGGATAGAGGAATTGGAGATACCCCTGCATCTAGACCGGATTCTTCTACACCAGCGGATTAATCAACGTCTAGGCTATACAATTACCATCCCAAATAATTGGGGATAAGGGATTGGATATACCCCTGCGTCTAAACCGGATTCTTCTTCACCAGTGAATTAGTAAAGTTCCACGCTATACAATTGGCACCTCAAATAATTGGGGATAGAGGAGTTGGAGACGCTATCTAGGCTACATAAATTCTTTTCAGCAGCGGATTAGAGCAGAAGGACTCACGCTCCATCTCCGCCGCCTTCTTCCGCGAGATTACTACCTCCTAGATGGGGAAGAGGATTGTTGGTAATGTGGACTGATGACCCTATTGCTAGCAATGTATTGGAGTATGTAACCTCAATGGTTTATAATATTTTGACATCGATCGCCGCTCTACTTCTTGTATTACAATTTTACTAATGTCTACCAATACGTTTTATTTTTTTTAATAATATTTTTCTCCAATACAAAGCATCTTGTCACGTTGACCTCCAAGTGGTTCTCTCTGGAACTTCCATCGTGGTAAATTCACCCTGGTGAATTTGGATGAATGGTTGCAAAATTAGTCAACATGTCTTGGATGTAGATTTGGGCCGTATGCTTGTTTGCCACTTTTCTTTGGACTGCTCTAATGCTGTTGGCCACAGCTTCATCGGAAGGTAGGGGGCGAGTGCAGATGGCACTCCAAAACAAAGGAAGGACTTATGAAGCGGCTGAAGGCCAACTTTTGCCTGACGGATACGATTTTAGTCTAAGGCCACCGCTGGTTCGAACTTCGGCACAGGCCGTCGTAATTTCGATTCCCGTTTGAATTAGACGGGGGATCGATCGAAGTAGCGAACTCCTTGATATGTTTTATATTGTTTTTGAATTTTATTATCATATTTTTTTACATATTCTTTTTGTAACACTCCATTATATATCGCTGTTGTATTATTCGCATTTTCTTTTATCTCCATATTTTTCCTCATAAAACCCTCAATATGTCTCATTCATCAGGTACGTGTCCATGGGGACAACACCAGTCGCTCTCTACGGATTACCAGATATATCTTACTTCATATCCCGGCTCATTTGTCCTGTTTCATCCATTATTCTTTCGCCGTTCAAGCAATCAAACTCTGGAATGACTTACCTCTTGATATCAAGACCGCCACGAGTAAAATTTCATTTAAACGGAAATTGCGGGAATATTATATAATTTTGTAACTTCTTTTTTACTCTCCTTCTCCTTATTTCACATTTTTCTGTTATTTCCCTATAGTTCTCTCTATATTTTCTTTTTTTTTCTTTCTTTCCATTTGAGGCTGTACTTATAATTTATCAGATCATTATGTATTTATTTATATGTAATATTTATGTATGTATATTATTATTATTTTTTATAGAAATTTATATATAAATATTTTGCTTTGTATATATATATATATATTTGACATTTCTCATTCATATTAGTGCACCGCCAACAATCTTTCTCTGCACCACTCATGGTTGCCTGGTAGATAACGCCGCAGCAAGGTGTTAAGTCCGCCATTGTTTTTGTGCATTAAAGTTAAATAAATAAATAAAATAAATGTATACCCACGAGTTTCTCGATCTGATGCAGTGTCCGGCGGTGAGAATGAACCTGTTACTGATGATACTACCTCCACATAACCATTCGGCTGTCGTGAAATCAGGGCCATATCCTAGCAGGGCCTAGAATTGATCCAAAAGTTTATTGTCTCATAATTATAATTATTGGAAGGTCTAAGAAAAGAATTTATTAAAAACCTCTTTATAATTAATCATAAAAACCTAAAAATATTACATAAAAGAATATTTATTTCATAATTATAAAACAGAGAAATAGAAATAATTTTTATTCAACTAAACTCAATACAATCACTTTTGAATAGCCATTCTTTTATTCTACCACTCATACGGAATGTAGACTCAACACATCAAGAATGAGCGAGAAACTTGTGTATTATGTGTATAAAATTAATAATTACACAATAACATGTAGGAGGCATGCGATAATGAACATAGAAACCGCTACGAACTCATTCTTAGAAGAATAAGAACTCTATGTTCCAAAGATTATTATATATTTTTGTTTTTATTTTCTTCAAATATTGTTACACTGCTGATTTTTTTATAATAATTAATTTCAGGGCAGTTCACACAGCGCCATCTAGTCTCAAGCTAAGTAGAGCTTGTGTTATGGATACTAGACATCTGATGCAAATATATAGATTATTTTTTGTAAACGCATATATATTATACATAGAAAACACCTAGATCGATACAAACAATCATACAATCTATTCTCCCAAATTTGAATTTAAATGAATCTATATTATTGTAAACATGTACAACATTTATTTGAAAAGAATACGAGCTGAGTTTTTTGTCAGTTCTTCTCATCTTGAAATCATTCCGGTACGGTAGATCTGACATATCATAAGAGTCTGTAATAGACCTACATGAATAAAGATATTTTGAATTTGAATTTACTCATGAATACAAAATGTTTGTGCCATGCGAGGAATCGAACCAGAGATCATCGGAAGTAAAGCGGTGTGCCACACGGCTAGACCATCGCGTGTGCGTGTGTGTGTGTATGTATGTGACCTTTTGTCCGTGATGTCACTAATGGCAGGCACAGAATACCAGCTCCGTGACAGTTCACTGTCATGGCAAATGCTGAGTGTCATCCACATTGTCAACTATTGTATATAAATATTATAGATTTTTTTTTTGTAATTGTTCTACGTATGTATGTGTATGTATATGTGTATGTGTGCATACATATATATATATGTTAAATGTACCAATCTCAAAATGTGTAAATATACATACATTATATCAATAATTGTTGTCAATAAATGTTTTTCTTTCCTTTTCTTTCTTTCTTTTCATCTATTTCCAGAAATTTTCCAAAATTTCGACAGTTATTTAAAATGGCAGCCTTTTAAAGGCTGATATAGGGTGTTTATTATTATTATTATTATTATTAACACTGACCATATTAGGGAATTCATTCAACTTCGAATCAACTCCATCTGATACCTCAGGTACATTGACCGACTCAATGTCTCTGGTGACTCGATGTGTCTCACAGGGGCACAACTGATGCTGATATGCCAGGCATTCTGAAATTAAAACAAACATATTCATTCATTCATTCATTCATTCATAATTTAAGAGCGACGCTCTTGTCGGTGGAGATCTTGCCACTTTCTTTACTCATTACTAGCTGTTCCCGCGACTTCGTCCGCGTGGAATTTAACTTTATTTTTCTAAAATAAAAGTAGCCTAAGTTACTCCTTATTACATTGGCAACATTATTTGTCCAGCCATTTCAGAGATTAGCCGTAACGAACAGCTGTCTGCCTGTTCGTTCATCGACAGACAAAATTGGAAAAAATGTTATTTTGGTGTATAAATAGAAAAGTGGACATGTCAAGTATTGCCTCCTGTTAACAATGACTCTGACTACCCCATAAAGATAACAGTCGTGAAGTTATCTCACTATTACCCATACTGCAGTGAAAGTACCAGGAGAACATGACTCGCAAGTAGGCTACAGCCCACCGCCGACTATTGAGTAATAATTTTTTTTTATTCAAATACACCGAGCGAAATGTGGACATGTCAAGTGTTGCGTTCACAACATGGTCAGTTGACAATGACTCTGACTACCCCATTAAAGATAACAGTCGTGAAGTTATCATACTATTACCGATACTACAGTAAAAGTACCAGGAGAACATGACTCGCAAGTAAGCTACAGCCGAGCCGTCTACAATAGAGTACTACTCTCATCTTTGGGCAGGAGCACCTGGATACTAGCACTGTCCATTGAGTAGGTTCAGAGACGTGCTATGAGAATTGTCGATGATCCCAATCTCTCTGGCGGTATCGAACCACTTAGTTTGAGGCGAGACTTCGCTTCGCTTTGTGTGTTCTACCGATTATACAACGGACTGTGTTCTGAGGAATTGTTCGACATGATGCCTACGGCCACCTTTTACCATCGCACCGCTCACTATCGACAGGGAATTCATTCCCACCCGCTGGAACCTAAGTGGCCCGAACAGTTCGGTTTCAGAGGAGCTTCCTCCCGCGTACACTTAGGTTGTGGAATGAACTTCCTGCCGAGGTTTTCTCACGAGACTACAGCATGGGGTTTTTCAAGAAGGGTATATTAAGGTTTCTTAAGGGTCGGCAACGCGAACACCCCTGGTGTTTCAGGCTACGGTTACAATTTACCATCAGATGGGCCGTATGCCTGTTTGACACCGTAGTAGTATAAAAAAAAATCTTACTATTACTGATACTACAGTGAAAGTACCAGGAGAACATGACTCACAAGGAGGCTAGAGCCTACCGCCGTCTATTGGAGTAATGTGTTTTTTTATTCAAATATTGTTATGAAACTTACTGGTCATTGCCTTCTTTCCAATTTGGATTCCATTGTACTTGCTAAAGTCGCAATTGTCTTTCCTGTAAATAGAATTTATTATAAATATAATAATAATCGCTTTAAAAGTGACGATACTTCCATACAACCTTTCTTCTACCATTTCAACCTCTTTTATTTAGGTATAATTAATCAGCAGCCTAAAAAAAGTTTCAAGTGTTTAGTTTTAAAAATGACGATACTTCCATACAATCTTTTATACCCCATTTCAACCCCTTACAACCCTCAAGGGTAAAATTATACAAATTTTGTATGTCATTTATTTACATTAAGTCAACAGCCTAAAAAATAAGTTTAAGCTTCTAGTTTTAAAAATGATGATACTTCCATACAACCTTGCATCTCCTACTTCAACCCTTTTTTACTTTATAAAATACTAAATACTAAATTTCATTTGAATCGGTTCAGTAGTTTTGGCGTGAAAGCGAGACAGACAGACAGACAGAGTTACTTTCGCATTTATAATATTAGTAAGGATATATATGTATATGTACATATATATATTTGACGGCCTCGGTGGTCTAGCGGTTTAGCACACCGCCTTACTACCGATGGTCGCGGGTTCGATTCCTCGCACGGCACAAACATTTGTATTCATGAGTATGATTGTTTGTATATAATATGTATGTATTTACGAAAAAAAAAAATATCTATGTATTTGTATCAGTTGTCTAGTACCCATAACACAAGCTTTAGCTAGCTTAACTTGGGTCTAGATGGCGCTGTGTGAATTGTCCTGAGGTTATTATATAAAAATTTACAATAACTTGCGATGATATAAAAACACTACCGATAAATATGTTCAAAAGAGAGTTAAAAGAAGGGCTGATCAATAATTGTTTTTACTCTGTTGATGAGTACTTTAATTCATAAAGTAGGTAATCTTAGTACTTTGGCCAGAAATTTTAATTTAATTTAATAATGATGAAAATAAAAATGAAACTGAGAAATATGTATACTCTTATAATAATAAATGGACACTGTTAAATTATGCATGCCAGTTTCTGATGAAAAGTGTGATACCTACATAAATTATAATTTTTAAAAATCCTATAAACCACTTTTCAGGCAAAATAAAGATATATGTATTTGTATTTGTATATAGTATTTATTATAGTAAGTATTACTTCACATATATTACTAGCTAGTAGTATTATTGGGCTGTATGTATTTTTTAATGCCACATAAAAAAAAAAAAAATTTTTTTCGAAAAATGTCAAAAATTTTTTTGGGGTGAGCCACCGTTAACACTTAGGTTTATAGAATAGAATAGAATAGAAAATCATTTATTCAAATAAACTTACATTGAATAGTCATTACATTTTTTTCTAATCTACCGCTCGTTCGGAAAGCTGTCTCATCACAAGAAGAACGAGCAAGAAACTTGCGTGTTGCTCTTTTAAATAATTTTATTATTACTTTACATTTTTAAGTTTAAGTGTGTTAATACAAACCACCAATTAGCACTAATTCAATTAAATACTCAAAAAGAAAAAATATTGAATACATAACCAAGCTGTGTCTAAGGTTCTTGAATAAAATAATATTGCGACTATAAATTGAGATGTAAGCTATCCTATCTCTCAAGTTGGATCAGATTGCACACAATGTGCAAATCAAATTTGCAATCGGTTCAGTAGTTTAAGAGTCCATCGCGGACAAACGACGTGACACGTTATCTTATATATAAAATTCTCGTGTCACAGTTTTCGTTCCCATACTCCTCCGAAAGCGCTTGACCGATTCTCATGAAATTTTGTGAGCGTATTGAGTCGGCCAACATCTATTTTTCATCCCCCTAAATGTTAGGGGTAGTCCACCCCTAAATTTTATTTTTATTTTTGAGCTAGAAATTACTTGAAAGTTATTTATATGGCAAAACAACGTTTGTCGGGACAGCTAGTTTTTATATATAAAGATTGTTATATAAGTATTGACACATTTACATAAGTTAGGTAAATATCAATAGTATAACTTCTCCCATTAGGTACTGCCCCCCTTCAACCGCTTTCTGTTTTTACCCAATGATTATCTGGTAGAGACATATGACATTAAACTCGCCACATGTACATTTAGTTTAGATAATACAATTTTTTTTTTATTGGATTGTTTGGGCTATTGTCAGATGTGTAGCACCTGTAACACTGCGACCTACATAGATCTATTGTGCTCGCCCTTTTCAGAGTTCGCTACCTAGACCCGTCAGGGACAAGAATTGAAGGATATTCTTAGGAGCGATCGTTTTTATCTCCTCGGGAAAGAGTGTAAACTTTCTAAAGGAGATATTTCGTTTATGCATGAGTGGGCTACAACCACATAGGATGTGAAGCGGCGTTTCCTCTTCAGTTTGGCAGAATCTGCAGATAATACAATAGAATAGAAAATCATTCATTCAAGTAATATTTATTACTTAGATTGAAGCACTTCTGAATTGTCATCACATTTTTTTTAATCTACCGCTCATTAGGAAAGCTGTCTCATCACAAGAAGAACGAGCAAGAAACTCGCGTATTGCTGTTTTAAACAAAATTATTTTAAAGAGCAATACGCGAGTTTATGTTACATTCATACACATGTTACATTCATATTCATACAGTTGTTACATTCTTAAGTTAAAGTGTGTGAATACAAGCACACAATAAAGGATAAATAAATAAAAAATACCTGTTTCCTTGATCGACCGGTAATTCAGGTTTGAGGCAGCAGACTATAGGGTCTTTACCAACGTACGAACAGATCTGCAGACAAAATTAATATTGTAATGAGAATCTTATTATAATATTAATTATCGAGCTGAATTTTGAAAATATCTCCCAGATTTCTTTTCAAAATAAATATGACACGATGCAACGCGTGTTTAATCATGGGAACTCAGTTGAGAGAAATTCGAAAGTTATTAACAAAATAGTGTTTTATTACTATGGTCATAGGGGCCCCATTATCCTAATGTGCCCAGGGCCTCTAATAGACGGAAGACGACCATGAATAAGGGTTGATTTTAAACATTCAAGCATAAAAAACAATAAATATTCTGTATTGCACTTAAATACATTTGTAAGTATATTAATTACAGCTAATGTTAACAAAGGAGGACTTATCTCTAAAAGAGATCTCTTCCAGTCAACCCAATAGAGCGTGGCATAGGAACTGTTGAGTGGGTTAAAATGTGCAAATTATATTTTTTATGAAAATGTCAAAATAATTAAAAACCTTGAATGGATTGAACAATCATACCTTGAATGGATTTCCAATCTTAGATGCTTTCACAGCCTCCCTACAGTTGGATATGTGAGTGCAAGATGCCATTATACCGTTACCGGCATTGCAACGGTCACCTGGAAACGAATGGTAACAAAATAATTTTTTTTATATCTATATAATACATATAAATAAAATTGGCGTGTCTGTTTGCAATATTGAAATAACCGTTCTTTACTACATGCATATGAATATAAATACGGTACATACACCAAAATGTCATTTTTTACAATTTTTTCTGTCAGTCTGTCTATTTGTTTCGGTTAATCTCTGAAATGGGTGGACCGATTTTGACGGGACTTTTTTTGGCAGGTAGCTGATGTAATAAGGAGTAAGTAACGCTACTTTTATTTTAGAAAAATTAAGTTAAATTCCACGCGGACGCAGTCGCGGATGCAGCTAGTAACTAATATAATAAGAACATCTCAGGACAATTCACACAGCGCCATCTAGTCACAAACTAAGCAGAACTTATGTTATGGGTACTAGACAACTGATACGAATACATAGATATATTTTTTCCATAAATACACACATATTACACATAGGAAACACCCAGACCGATACAAACAATCATACTTATGAATACAAATTTTTGTGCCGTGCGAGGAATCGAACCCGCGGCCAACGGAAGTAAGGCGGGGTGCTAAACCGCTAGATCACTGAGGCCGTCATAATATCCTTCGACAATATACAATCCTTACACAATTTGCCGACCTTTTGAAGAAATAAGCTCAATTCTTGAAGGTTTCAATATATTTGCTGGAAGGTGATCCAACATGGTGGTTGAGCGTGGCAGAAGTTTCTAGAAAACCGCACTGTGGAGGACCGCCATTCATCCAGATGATTAGATGATATCATCTCCACTTTCAACCGCTTACAACCCTGTTTTCGCATTAAAAAGTAGCCTGTCCTTTCTTAGGGTCTAGAGTATGTGTTTACCAAATCTATATTAATAATTTCATCACGGGGTACGATAGACTCGAATGAAACCTTATATGAATAACAAAACATAAAAAAATATTGACTGTGACGTGGTCGTGTGGAATGAGTAGTCATGCTCAGTAAAATGTCCAGACATGTGGCGGCGTGGTGGGCCGGGTCATTGGGCTCCCTAAAATATGGTCGAGCGCAGTGATGGCTGGCTCATCCGTCATACTCGTGAAACGAGTGCTGCTTGTAGGGACTGGTCTGCTCTTATCACTACGACTGATTTAATCTTATTGCATATTTATATTTGACCCAAAAATTAGTGCTTGTTGGTAGTTTGTATTCACACGTTTCGACTTGTAAATGTAAACTTACAAGGATTATTTAAAAGAGCAACACACAAGTTTCTTGCTCGTTCTTCTTGTGATGAGACAGCTTTCCGAACGAGTGGTAGATAAAAAACAAATTGTTATGACTATTCAAAAGTGCTTAAATTAAGTTTATTTGAATAAATGATTTTCTATTCTATTCTATTGATTTCGCGTCGACAACATATATCCGCAAAATTCGGATTATAGAGTATTTCGTTAAATTCAGCAAAGATTTCAAATTCAAATTCAAAAATCGTTTATTCCTGTAGAATATTTTAGCCGTTTATAAACGTCAAATTTTACATTATATTTTTTTCCCTACCGTCCAGTTCACTATAGATCCAATTGAAAAGAACGGGCAAGAAACTAAATTGATTTACTTTTTTTAAAAGCCAATTTATTTACAATGTATATTTATATAGGTGTCTATGTCTAACATTAAATGAAAATCCCGTGCATGAACAACTATTGCCATGCACGCTCGTCATTCAAGTAATCGTTTAGTGAGCAATAGGCTTTGCTCAGTAAATATGATTCAACAGATGTTGAATCGAATTGAATTTATTTAAGTATAATTCCGGTAGATCAATTCACTTTCAGTCTTTCATTAAAAAAACATTGTAAACTTACCTTCAACTAAGTCTAATGTTTCTCCATTAATAATGACACATACAAACGAAAAATATATTAGTTCACTCCACATTTCTAGTCTGTAAGAGATTCCTTTAAGCGATAAGGTTGCGTTTTAGTAAGATCATTTAAAATTTTATTTTAATATAAATATTTATCTTAATATAGAGTTATAATAATCATTACATAGTATAAAACAAAGTCGCTGTCGCTGTCTGTCCGTCCCTATGTATGCTTAAATTGTCGTTAAAGTCGTAACTCGCTCGCAATAACGATGAAACACTGTATGAACTAATTATACATATATATACACAGATACATACATGTACCAACACTATATGTGCAGGCTTACATATATATATATATACTAGCTGTCCCGGCAAACGTTGTTTTGCCTTAAAATAAAAAAAAAAAAAATTAGGGGTGGACTACCCCTAACATTTAGGGGGATGAAAAATACATGTTGGCCGATTCTCAGACCTACTCAATACGCTCACAAAATTTCATGAGAATCGGTCAAGCCGTTTCGGAGGAATATGGGAACGAAAACTGTGACTCGAGAATTTTATATATAAGATATACATATATGTATTTACATATACATTTTGTAAAAAGAGCAGTTATAAATTTTACAATTAGTGTAAAAATTACTGTATATATAATTTGTCGTTTAAAACACTCTTTATTAATACACACTAGTTAATTGTAACACTGACTTGGTAATTTATAAAACACTTATGGAATTAAAAGAGTAACGTCTTCTCTCTACCTTTATCAACTTAACACTAGCGTGTTACTAATATTCATTGAGGATAAAAGCTTATGTTTATCTGTAATTGGCTTGTTATAGACTAGACCTCTACATATGTATGAGGCATCAGTGCTGCCATATTTGGTGATTTACCACTCAATTTGGGGAGATTTTGTGTGGAGAATTTATATTGATGTAATAAAAGTTATAACATTTACAAACTACTATAAAATCATTATATTTGTTTAACAGAGATTTACTTAGAGAACTTTAATAAGGGCGATCACAATATATATATACAGGTCGCAGTGTTGCAGGTCTTACAATAGCCCAAATCCACTTATTAAAAAACCAGTGATTATGTACTTGTATTAACTATTTACAAATTTTCTAAAAAGAACAGTTATATTTTTTACAATTAGTGTAAAAGAATACTGTATACATATATATTTCATTCGTAATACACTCTTAATACACACGAGTCAATTGCAACACTGACTTGGTAATTAAAAAAAAACTTACTAAATCTTTGAGGATAAAAGCTTTGTTTATTTGTGATTGGCTTGTTATAGCCTAGACCTCTACATATGTATGAGGCATCAGTGCTGCCATATTTGGTGATTTACCACTCAATTTGGGGAGATTTTGTATCGAGAATTTATATTTATGTAATGAAAGTTATCATATTTACAAACTACTATAACAGTATTATATTTTTGTAACAGAAATTTTCTTAGAGAACTTTGAATAAGGGCGATCACAATAGATCTATACAGGTCGCAGTGTTGCAGGTCTTAGCATCTGACAATAGCCCAAACCCACTTATAAAGAAACAGTGATTATATGTATTTGCTATTAACTATTTACAAATTTTCTGAAAAGAACAGTTATAATATTTACAAATAGTGTAAAAAATACTGTATACATATTGTTCGTGGAACAGTTATGCTATTTACAATTAGTGTAAAAAATATAATCCCTAAGGGGCCGTTCAAGTATTACGTAAGGACTATAGGGGGGCGGGGGGGTCTTTTCTTTGCTTATTTTGGATGACATGGGGGTGGGGGAGTCTGTATGATGATTACGTCATCGGTCGTAATTTACTTTTTTACAGGAATGGCAACCCTCACATTGACTTTGCTAAAAAAAACAATACATTAATTGAGAGATGTTTACGTAAGCATGGGTGGAGGGGGTAAGAGCTTTGCTTACTTTTGCTGACAAGGGGGATGGGGGGTAAATAATTGTGATAAATCTGCTTACGTAATACTTGAACAGCCCCTAACACTTTATATTAATAAACACTAGTGATGCCTCATTTGATGATTTACCGCTGAATATGTGGAGATTTTGTAATAATAAGAATAAAAATAAAAATCATCACGCAAAATAAAGTAAAGAGACTTGGCATGTCCAGTCCTCGGTATTAATCACCAGATTAAGCTGTGAAAAAGAGAAAATAATAATAATAATCATATTTGTCTCATAAAAACTAATACAATTGCTGCCCATAGAATAATAAAATTTAAAAGTAATGAACGTGTCTATAACTCAGAGTGGGCAGTGAGTCCATCCTCTCTGCTATTCTGTTATAGCCTTTATTTGTAAACCAGCTACTCGCCCCGGCTTCGCCCGGGTGTACATGTATTATACATGTAAACCTTCCTCTTGAATCACTCTATCTATTTAAAAAAACCGCTTCGAAATCCGTTGCGTAGTTTTAAAGATGTAAGTATTTAAGCATACACAATACACATACACGGACAGACAGCGACAGCGACTTTGTTTTATACTATGTAATGATTAATACAATAAGTAATCGACGACGACGATTGTGACGATGGAGAATAAATTTGTGAGAAAACAAAGTTATTAGGAAAACCTGCAATTTGGCTGGATTCTTCTAAAAGGCACAACTTTGCTTAGCTTGGCTCTATATTTACTTTTTTTTTTCAAAAACTTCATTAGGAGTAATTTTTACTCGCAGTTTGGCTAGAGTCTCCCTAGTATGATAAAACCTACAGTTTGGGGTAATTTTCGACAAAATTTGGGTAAAATACTAATTTGTTATCTGGCAACACTAGACACAACGTGACCAATTATTAATCCTGTCCAATACGGACGTCTATAAAAACAAGAACTTAGGAATAAGCTGATGTCCCACCTGACGGTAAGTGGTAACCGTCGCCTATGTACATAAACAACACTGCGGACAACACGTTATCATGTGACCTTAATACGGTGCAGATCTGAAGGACTACGAGGTCCGGTCTCCATACACTGTAATTTCACTGGCCATAGCTCTCAACAAACTGTCTATAAACTCATGTTCTCCTGGTACTTTAATGTAGTTTTGCTTTTTTTTTTCATCGTAATGGCAAACAAGCTGCCGTCCCACTTGATGGTAAGTGGTAACCGTCGCCTATATACATGAACAGTACTACGAACATCACGTTATCATATCGGTCATACTCGTGAATGGATACAAATTGCTTGTGGCGACTGATCTGTTCAGGTTACGAACACTGATTAGACTATTTGCTTTTGCAATAGCATATGCTGGTAGTCACTCTATTCTCCCAAATTTGAATTTAAAAATGAATCTGTATTATTGTAAACATGTACAACATTTATTTGAAAAGAATACGAGCTGAGTTTCTTGTCAGTTCTTCTTATCTCGAAATCATTCCGAACTGACGGTAGATTAGACATATCATATGAGTCTGTAATAGACTTACATGAATAAAGATATTTTGAATTTGAAATTATGTACGAACGTATGTCATATGATAACGTGATGTCCATACTGTTCTTGTATATAGGCGACGGTTACCACTTACCATCAGGTGGTACGTCAGTTTCTTCGTCATTACAATGACAAAATAAAGTAGTTGAAGCGATTAAAAGTACCAGGAGAACATGAGTAGACAGTTTGTTGAGAGATATGGCCAGTGAAATTATAGTGTATGGAGACCTGACCTCGTAGTCCTACAGATCGGCACCGTAAAGGTCACATGATGAGGTAATGTCCGTACTGCTGTTGATGTATATAGGCGACGGTTACCACTTACCATCAGATGGTACGTTACTTTATTTGTCATTACAATGACAAAATAAAGTAGTTGAAGCGATTAAAAGTACCAGGAGAATACGAGTTTATAGGCAGTTTGTTGAGGGATATGCCCAGTGAAATTACAGTGTATGGAGACCGGACCTCGTAGTCCTTCAGATCGGCACCGTAAAGGTCACATGATGAGGTAATGTCCATAGTGCTGTTCATGTATATAGGCGACGGTTACCACTTACCATCAGGTGGTACGTCAGTTTTTTCGTCATTACAATGACAAAATAAAGTAGTTGAAGCGATTAAAAGTACCAGGAGAATATGAGTTTATAGGCAGTTTGTTGAGGAATATGGCCTGTGAAATTACAGTGTATGGAGACCTGACCTCGTAGTCCTTCAGATCGGCACCGTAAAGGTCACATGATGAGGTAATGTCCATAGTGCTGTTCATGTATATAGGCGACGGTTACCACTTACCATCAGGTGGTACGTCAGTTTATTCGTCATTACAATGACAAAATAGTAGTTGAAGCGATTAAAAGTACCAGGAGAATACGAGTTTATAGGCAGTTTGTTGAGGGATATGGCCAGTGAAATTACAGTGTATGGAGACCTGACCTCGTAGTCCTTCAGATTGGCACTGTAAAGGTCACATGATGAAGTAATGTCCATAGTGCTGTTGATGTATATAGGCGACGGTTACCACTTACCATCAGGTGGTACGTTACTTTATTTGTCATTACAATGACAAAATAAAGTAGTTGAAGTGATTAAAAGTACCAGGAGAATATGAGTTTATAGGCAGTTTGTTGAGGGATATGCCCAGTGAAATTACAGTGTATGGAGACCGGACCTCGTAGTCCTTCAGATCGGCACCGTAAAGGTCACATAATAATGTCCATAGTGCTGTTGATGTATATAGGCGACGGTTACCACTTACCATCAGTTTATTCGTCATTACAATGACAAAATAAAATAGTTGAAGCGATTAAAAGTACCAGGAGAATATGAGTTTATAGGCAGTTTGTTGAGGGATATGGCCTGTGAAATTACAGTGTATGGAGACCGGACCTCGTAGTCCTTCAGATCGGCACTGTAAAGGTCACATGATGAAGTAATGTCCATAGTGCTGTTGATGTATATAGGCGACGGTTACCACTTACCATCAGGTGGTACGTTACTTTATTTGTCATTACAATGACAAAATAAAGTAGTTGAAGCGATTAAAAGTACCAGGAGAATACGAGTTTATAGGCAGTTTGTTGAGAGATATGGCCAGTGAAATTATAGTGTATGGAGACCTGACCTCGTAGTCCTACAGATCGGCACCGTAAAGGTCACATGATGAGGTAATGTCCGTACTGCTGTTGATGTATATAGGCGACGGTTACCACTTACCATCAGATGGTACGTTACTTTATTTGTCATTACAATGACAAAATAAAGTAGTTGAAGTGATTAAAAGTACCAGGAGAATATGAGTTTATAGGCAGTTTGTTGAGGGATATGCCCAGTGAAATTACAGTGTATGGAGACCGGACCTCGTAGTCCTTCAGATCGGCACCGTAAAGGTCACATAATAATGTCCATAGTGCTGTTGATGTATATAGGCGACGGTTACCACTTACCATCAGTTTATTCGTCATTACAATGACAAAATAAAATAGTTGAAGCGATTAAAAGTACCAGGAGAATATGAGTTTATAGGCAGTTTGTTGAGGGATATGGCCTGTGAAATTACAGTGTATGGAGACCGGACCTCGTAGTCCTTCAGATCGGCACTGTAAAGGTCACATGATGAAGTAATGTCCATAGTGCTGTTGATGTATATAGGCGACGGTTACCACTTACCATCAGATGGTACGTTACTTTATTTGTCATTACAATGACAAAATAAAGTAGTTGAAGCGATTAAAAGTACCAGGAGAATACGAGTTTATAGGCAGTTTGTTGAGGGATATGCCCAGTGAAATTACAGTGTATGGAGACCG